CTTATTATAAAACCTAAATCTAGCACCGATTATGAAAAAGTCCGTGTATATTTTAATAGTAAAATGCCTAATGAAAGTCTTCAATTTTTATGCTTCTTAGTTATAAAACTAATGTTGTTAATTTTATAATGAAACACTTCGACGTTGGATCTGTTCGTATGCGTAACAACCTTGCATTTGTCTTTGTTAAACAATAAGAAATTATTTTCGAACAAATATAGTCATTACGGTCCACCTTGCAGCAGCAATAGTCTTTATTATTTACAATCTTGCCATAAATCTCAGCAAATGAAAAAACTTCTGATTAGTTGATGCGATCAGTGATATCGTTGATAAAGATTGAAAATAATGAGCGTCTCAGAGTGGAACCTTGGAGAAAACTCGAAGTTGTCACACAACGGTCAGAATAATGACCACTGATCATTACAAAGTTAGTCCTCTCGCTTAAGTAGGAAATACACATTTCAGTCAATGCTTCAGAAAAGTTACGTAAGCGTTACATTATATCACTTCTTAATTCTTCACACAAGATTGCTAATAGTTCATTTACGGCAGTTAAACAAGTTCATTATACTGCGAACTGGCGGGGGTTATGATATTTTCTTCCCTTAGGTGGTTATCATCGTTATCATGATTAATTCATCGGGGCATGCCTCACAACGCCACAGATTGATTAATTCACCGAGACATGCCATCACAACGCTACAGATTGATAGAGGTCCGTTCTCGAGATGCTAGAGATTAATAACAGCACCGAGAAGCTTTTTCCTCGCAATGACTTTAAAATTTACATCACCGAGACGCTTTTTCCTCGCAACGATTTTAAAATTTACATCACCGAGACGCTTTTTCCCTCGGAGCGATGATTGGATATTTTTGTGTTTGTTTATTATTATGTGTTTTGTTGAGGTAACCAGTTCGCGGTATTTTAAACTCTCAAAGTAAATTGTTTTTGGAAGTAACCAATCACTTGAATCAAGACATAATTTAACATAATGTAAACTCTTTGTTTGAACCGTTGATAAAGTATGTCAAATATCAATCTGTAAATTTTGTTAACTTACAATTTTACCACCTCATACTATATTTCTTAATCTCACAATCTCAGTAATTTTATTTGTTGTATAATTTTAATTGAACGTAAATTTCATGTTCGACAGTTTTTAACCTCACATAATATTTCTATTTGTACAAGTCAATTTCACACCAGATCTTCTGTTTCATAAATCCTTGCTAAGTTTGTTTTTTAACTTCTTTGTTGATGAATGTTTCTATCATACAAATTATTTGATGTCTAATTTTTAATCTCGCATATAAGAATTATTCGTTGGTTAAAGTTTCACAAGATTGTATGGCGAATTTAAATGTTATTTATAGCTCGTTGAAACTTTTATACTTGTGTAGTTGTTGTTAATACCAGAGTTATAAGAGATTGAATGTTTAAAAATAGAATTGAGGTTAAATAACACAGAAAACGTGGCAGAAGCGAAGTTCGATTCCTAGTCGGGCTGGCGAGATTAATCATGTCACTTGTACAAGTCCACAGGTTTGAATAGATTCAGGGGCGGCCGCCGATGTTGTAAAGTTCTAGGCTTCGTGCTAGTCTAGATCCTCTTGCGGGTCGGACGACCATAATGGCCTAGTTCCGCAGGGCACGTTCGTAATGGAGATATGCGTGTAGGGTAGGCTTTGTGATAGATAGAATCACCGTCGTGGGGGGAGAACAGCCCCAGACCGGTACCCCCAAACTCCGCTTATGCTACAACGCCCCAGGGGTACTTTTGTTGTGCTCCTGTTAATTGCCGTAACTTAAAAAAAAAGCTGCCGCCACACGCCTGTAATAACTTGTGTATTTGCATCCCGTTACTTGATTCAGTTTTTGCTTTGTTTTATTAAATTTGTGATATTCAAATATTTGCATTGATTCCAAACAGATGTATAGAATTTTCTGTTTGTTCGTTTTTCATATGTGTATGTCTGTCAATTCGCGAGTGTTTTCTTTCATGTATCTTAAGGTGTTTGAAATGTAATATTTCGGTGAATAAAACCCCAGGGGGTTTTTGGGAATGAAGACCGATGGCGCCGTGGCCCTGCGGAACCACCAGAAGGGCACGTTGAGTCACTGTCGCTCTTCGTTTCTTTGCCTCCTAAGGAAGGATTTCGACCTCCCTAATTTTGTCTATTATTTCTTGCGCTCTCAACTCACATGCAGTACATGCTCACTTGTATGAAAGAACGTCTTCCCGCCATTTTTCAAAAACAAAAAAAAACAACGTAGGTTCCTATCTGTTGGACGATCACAGCCAAGGCCAAACTTTGAATTTTTAAATTTTTCGCGGGCCTTTCAATTTTTTTTTCAAGGTCAATTTAGAGGCGGGAAGTTTGGGTTATCACAGTACTTATAACTTGATAAACAAAGGATGAATCCTGACTAAGTGAATTTCATAAAATCTTCTAGCGAATGCTTTATCTGAACAATCTCATGACTGTTAAATTGTATTAGAACCAGTGACGATTAAAATCCTAACATGAACTGTGAATTTACAAACAATAAAACAAATTTACGCCACGTGTTAGCGTCGGTTGAAAAGTCGCATATTTCCGCTTGGAAAAACAGCAATAATTAGCTATGCTTGTTGGGGGAAACTGTGGCGTCGTCGCCGTTAATTAATTTTCGTTAAACAAATGCTTCTCCCTTTTTATTAACTAGCAAAGCAACTAAATTTAATATAGCTATCGCGTCCTTTCACTTACCCCAAACAAACAACAGTGACGCATCTTAACACTCTACCAAGCAAGCCAACTTCACTACAAACCCTTTCACTAGATACTAGCCACAACTTCCCTAGGGGAGCTACCAACTACCAAAAAAAAACTAAACTTGCATATGGTTGCCAATGTTTAACGATTTTCTTGATTGATTTTTTTTTCAAATTCAAATGATTCGAATGTGATTTCGCGCCGTTGTTTTTCTTTCCACGCGAAATTTTAATTCAAAGTTGGTCATTACAACCGGCACATATTTTTATGCCAACGGTCGCACCTGCTCTCCGTTTTTGCAGATGGTGTCCCCGGAATGCAACTAGAAAATGCACATTGGATGGTCATTCAAGAGACACTGGTACACGCTGGAGATAACCCCCCTGAAGATGAACACCACGATCTCGGACATCAAATATCTAAGTAAGTAATATACAATTCACAAGAAACAAGAACTACACCAACTTTCCTATGGAAATACTGCTAGGGTTGTCTCCTTTTCACCTGTCGGTGACTGACGGAAACAGCTAACCCCGATCATTGTATCCCGGGCTTTATTCTAGGGATAGGACTCTTTTAGATTCGACATTATGGGGAGCAGCACAAAAATGGACCAAGCGTTGAATTGAGCGCATCGACGAGATAGAAACGTGGGCAGTGCCTTAGAGTACATATTCTCCGATTGGTTGATTTCTCGGGCATCTTAATAGTTCCGTATTTACTGGTTAAGTAATATAGTCAGTCGATAGCGCGACAATACGAGGGCAGAATATTGCGCACACGCATAATTAATTAAGCCAGTAATAACTTACACGATAAAAGCCATCTGAGTGAAAGGTGATGGAAACTCGATGGAGCGATTTTTCGATTACGTGAGACGTGACGGACCAACTGAATGGCTGAATCAAATAGATTCAACTACCCCCCACATCTAATGCCGTTTCCTACTTATAGTAGTTTCGGAACAGCAAATTTTGTCCATATTTGGATAAAGAATGCGTCTTCCATGTGGACTGGTGAATCACTTGACTGGTCGACAGTGAATTCTGCCCATATTTGGCAAGCGGTGTGTTTCGAACGAATTATTGGAAGGCAATGGAGTAAAGAAACGACCGCGATGTAGGTAAAGGCCGTGGAAATTAATAGACAAAAGGGCGACTTTTCGCTACAATAGGTTTATCTTAAGGGTAGAATTTCCGGTCTACATGAATTAGAATTAGAGTTAGCTTTGATTGGGTGTATGCGGTTTAAAATTTGAATTAACGCGCTATATGCAAACGCATTAAAATTATTATTTGGTTTATTAAAGGAAACATTCTTTTATGTAATTTACCTGCGACTGAAGGACGTCCTTACTTCTAGATTTGATATAGGATTAGAAATATTTTAGGTTCTCCCTTAATAAATTCTGTCCCTTATGAACATAAACTTTGAAATCTCTAATAATTAGTTGTATAATAATAAGTCGACCTTCACAGAAATCTTTATAGTTTTGGCGCAAGATTTTCTCTTTAAGTTTGATACAGCTTTTAAGTTCATCAGAACAGCACTTTCGAAATTCAGGTTTCGTATTTTTAGTATAGGGCACATACTTATCGAAAACGTTATTAATATGTTACAAAAAACGTCGCATGCATGATTAACATCTGTGATCGTACAGATAGAGCTCCAGTTAATAATTCCTCATACAGCCCTGGAAAGTTAGCTTTAGTGAAGTTATAATGCTTTTTTTCTAAAAAATGAACATTGTTCGGTATTAACCTTAATTCTACGCAGGGTAGTATTTATCTCCAGGTAGAATCGGATTATCCCCCCGGACCTCCACGCACAGTCACTTTGGTTACTAAAAACTCCATCTAATAAACGCAAATCACCACTAGATCTAAGATTTCACATAAACGATGATATTCTTGACAAATACTTTCAGCAAGATAATGCCACCGCCCTAAAATAAGAAATTTTTTGATAAATGTTCGATCGATTTTCCTGCAGAGTCGTCAGATCTACGTTTCCTCGATTATTTTGTCTTTCTTAATCTGAAGAATACTACATAACAATAAATTAACGTGAATTGTGGCATTGTATTGTTGGTAGATTGATTTTGTACTTAACCTCAAAAACGAACAGCTGTGACAGTGCAGACTTTAATACACAATACAATAATTCCACAGACTTCTAGTCGACTTTTTTTCTCAATGTTACACTTACATGTATGAAGACAAGTCAATGAGAGATTAGACTAATAATTAAATATTTTATTGGCAACTAATTTAAAAATTACATTTCTATATTTGCTAAAATTAAATGCAATTATCTATGTTTAATTTTACAAATATATACCAAGAACTAATGAGTTTACAATTTAGATTTAAAACCTAACAAAAACAAACAAAAATATTAAGAAGCTGATGACCCACTGCATATAATGCCCTGGCTTAGAAAATATAAAGGAACTGTTATGTTTTTTTTTACAATTAAATACTTGTATCATCTTATATACATTATAACATCAAAAAGTGTAAAGAAATACATAATAGTGAAAAAAAGTATGTACAATTTCCGCAATGTTTTTATGGACCTTGAGTCTAAACAGTAATAAAAAATATTGCGAAAACCAACAACTCTACAAAATCTATACATTAATGGTATATAAAATAAAATAGTCATATATATTTTTAGATGTACTGCTAGACACCGATAGTCGGTATTTAGTACATCGCTAACAATTATTGTACAAGGATCTGTCAATTTTACACTTGGAAACATAGATAACACGGTTATATTGTTGTCATTTTTTTTTTATACTGAAATCAGTTTGAATTAATCCAATTCCGTTAATGAGAAAAATCTGGTGACGAGTCATTCAACTAGTGCAAAATTTTCGTACAAACTTTATACCTTTAATTCAATGTCATCACAGTGTTCTCTTAAAATTTAGTCCACAAAAATAGACGAAATAAACCAATGCAACATATACAAACTCGCAAACCTGTACATAACAATCCTCGTGATTAGTGTAAATTTCATCGGTTAATAAAAAAAAGTCGAGTGCACTATGTGTTTTATTATCGTTATAAAACAAAAAAGACATATCTGGACTGAAATATTACATTTTCCAAAAATCGATCGTTAAACGAAGAAGATAAAATAAAACACTAATAAAATCTAGCAATCAATTGAACTATTTAAAAAGCCAAAATAAAACAAACAATTATAACGAATTCATCTAATCACAGTACGTTCAGCCTTTATTTTCCCTTATTCATCGAATTTACCGAAATCTCCAACCGAAACTATACCGCAACTTTGGAAAATGCAATGCGACGAGTTCAATCAATTACTGGACGCCGTTATCTGGGGGTTACTGTTTGTCGGCTGGCCGTTGCTTTGCTTGCATTGATCGGGGACTTCCCCGCAGTCTCTTCGCAGTTTCGAAAAACAAAAGGCGCACACACGGACAGGGTTGTAGAGTTGCTCGGATGGTAAGGGCGTGCTGTACTCTGAGCAACTGTTGCAGAAAATCCGGCCGCACTTCCTAAACAGAAGAAAAAGAAGCATTATAAGGAGTGTATTACATAGAAACGTTTTTCTTTAACCGCAAGAATGACACTACGTTGTCGGGATACTTTGTAAAAAGAGAACCGTTCAAGAGAGTTGAAAAATTTGACGTACCTTATCATATCAGGTTATTGTAAAGCCGTCACAAAACTTGCAAATTTGAAGCTATTCTATTTGTCTACTAATAAAATTTTACATCCTGCAAAACCGCAAATTATATCTTCAGTAGCCTACGACTGAACAGGATCGTATTTACTCTACGCTGTAGTCTGGACAGAGGTCTAGGTAGTTATTATATAAAAAGTTGGTTGACAGTTATTTTTGTAAATTGTTAAATTATTTTGTTTACAATAACCGATTGCGATTACACTGTCCATGGTGCACTGCTAAACAAAATTGTTTAATCATCCCCATTAACGATTTCATGGTGTCACCTGGAAATTTCTACTCTGGTACTTGTGGTTTCTGAATGCGCCTTCATTTTTTACTCTTGGGCATCCAAAAAATTTATCGAAAGAAAATTATGATATATATAAGTTTTTTCGGTCCCGGGGTGCGATTTTGTTTCTCGATCGAAGTGATAAATTATCACTTGCGATAAATGTCATTGCGTAGCTTTTAAATGCAAAGTTTGCATTTATTCTTTGCATATAAGCTTATTAAATGCTCAAAAGTTTACAATTACCTTCATTTTAAGAACTTATAACTCAGAATTACGATTTTGAACTTCTATTTTGGCATAAATTTCGAGGTTATGGGTGGGATTTTGTTTCTTGATCGAAGTGATAAATTATCACTTGCGATAAATGTCATTGCATAGCTTTTAAATGCAAAGTTTGCATTTATTCTTTGCATATAAGCTTATTAAATGCTCAAAAGTTTACAATTACCTTAATTTTAAGAACTTATAACTCAGAATTACGATTTTGAACTTCTATTTTGACATAAATTTCGAGGTTATGTCTCCAAAATTTATCACTTCATTCAGAGCTATCGAGAAAATATCACTCTATGAAGACTTGATTTCGTGACAGAATCGAGAAATGTGACAGAAATGTCTCACCAACTCAGCCTCTCAACCAATCAACAAAGGAGATTTTATCGCTAAGTTTTTTTCGATCTAGAAACAAAATCGCACGCTATGCCTCCAAAATTCATCACTTCACTCAGAGCCATCGAGAAAATATCACTCCATGAAGACTTGATTTCGTGACAGAATCGAGAAATGTGACAGAAATGTAGCATCTCAACCAATCAGCAAACGAGATTTTATCGCTATCGAGTTTTTTTCGATCGAGAAACAAAATCGCACGCTGTCACCAAAATTCATCACTTCACTCAGAACTATCGAGAAAATATCACTCCATGAAGACTTGATTTCGTGGCAGAATAGAGAAATGTGACAGAAATGTAGCATCTCAACCGATCAGCAAACGAGATTTTATCGCTATCGAGTTTTTTTCGATCGAGAAACAAAATCGCATCCATGGGGTGGGAATTTATTTCTATAACGATAAAATATCGGTACCGATAAAATGTGGTCGTCTTTTCCTTTCGCATCGGAAATTTATATTTTCGTCCTTGTCATTTATCGCTTCGTATCGTATCGGTAGAAACAAAATCCCACCCCTGAAGTACAGTGCAACTTATACAACTTTTTCGAAAATTTACAAAATTTGATTTTAGGATTATTTTTTTAAAGATATAAGGGTGCATGTTTTACGTGAATTTTTCCATTACAAAAATTTTCTGGAACATTGGGTGGGCCATTCTGGATTTCACGGTCAAAATGTACGATTATTTTCCTCTTGTTTGACAACATGCTTAATTTTTTGAATGCAATTTTGTTGCCATTTTCTTTTCTTACTACAAAAAAATTGATCGCTGAAGTACAGTCCAACAAATTCAGCTTCTTCGAAAAATTATAAAATCAAAATTGTTTTATACAATTTATATGGCATTTATACGTATTTTACGGTCTACATGATATTCCTAACACACATAAAATTTGACAACAATCGGTCTGGTAGTTTCGAAAATTAGCTGTATATTAAAAATCGACAGAGACGACAGATGGAAGGAAACGCGAGACCCACTTTTCCATACTCTTAAGATTAAGAAACATCGAGAAAACATGAAAGTAGTCATTCTGTGGATGGATCACTTTTTTCTTACACTGTGACTGGTACTATTTTGTTTTTTCCCCTAAAATAATGGATTTCTTTGATTGTACTTCAGGGGTAATGGAGGTTAATAGCTGCTAAAATAAAACCGATTTCGGCAAATGATATACTCCTAAGACAGGAGAGGGTAGATGGGCGGGGCTAGTGCCTGCTAAGATAAGGCTGGTTTTGGCAAATGACCTACCCTCAAGAGAAGCGCGGGCGGGTGGGCGGGGCTAGTAGCTGCTACGATAAGACTGACTTTGGCAAATGACATATTCTCTAAGAAAAGAAAGGGTGGGTGGGCGGGGCTAGTACCTGTTAGGATAAACTGATTTTGACAAATGGGATCCCTCTAAGAAAAGAGAGGGCGGGTGGGTGGGGCTAGTACCTACTAAACGCAGTTTTATCTTAGCAGCTACTAGCCCCGCCCACCCATCCTCTTTTCTCAGAGGGTGTTATTTGCCAAAATCAGTCTTATCTTAGCAGCTACTAGCTAGGATAAGTCTCATTTTGGCAAATGACATACCCTCTAAGAAAAGAGAGGGTGGGTGGGCGGGGCTAGTACCTGCTAGGACAAGACTGATTTTGGCAAATGACATACTCTCTAAGAAAAGCGAGGGTGGGTGGGGCCACTTCCTTCTAAGATAAGACTGATTTTGGCAAATGAGATACCCTATAAGAAAACAGAGGGCGGGTGGGTGGGGTTAGTACCTGTTAAGACTGATTTTGACAAATGCCATATCTTCTAAGAAAAGAGAGGGGTGGTGGGTGGGGCTAGTACTTGCTAAACGCAGTTTTATCTTAGCAGCTACTAGCCCCGCCCACCCACCCTCTCTTTTCTTACAGGGTATGTCATTTGCCAAACTCAGTTTTTATCTTAGTAGCCACTAGCCCCGCCCACCCACCCTCTTCTCTTTTCTTAGGGGGTATGTCATTTGCCAAAATCGATCTTATTTTAGCAGCTACTAAACCCCACCCACCCGCCCTCTTCTTTCTTAGGGGGATCTCAGTAGCCAAAATCAATCTTATCTTAGGAGATACTAGGTAGGATAAGACTGATTTTGGCAAATAACATACCCTCTAAGAAAAGATAGGGTGGGTGGGCGGGGCCAGTACCTGCTAGGATAAGGATAATTTTGGCAAATGAGATCCCTTTGAGAAAATACAGGGCCGGTGGGCGAGGTTAGTACCTGCTAATCTAAGATCGATTTTAGCAAATGACATACCCTCCAAAAAAAGAGAACGTGAGTGGGCCGGGCTAGTAGCTGCTAAAATAAGACCGATTTTGGCAAATCACATACTCACTAAGAAAAGAAATGGTGGGTGGGCGGGGCTAGTAACTGCTAAGACAAGACTGATTTTGGCAAATGAGATATCCTTTAAGAAGAGAGGGGGGTGGGCGGGGCTAGTACCCTCACTACCCTCCTAAAATAAGCCCGATTTTAGTAAATGACATACCCTCTAAGAAAAGAGAGGGCGAGTGAGCGGTACTAGTAGCTGCTAAAATAAGACCGATTTTAGCAAAAGACATTAGAGGCCCCAAAGCACCTTGAAATTTTTTCCAAACAAGAATACCTAGAACCTCAAGATTGGTTTAAATTTTTCAAAAAGGAAAAACAGGGTCACAAAATTAACTCAAAAACTGGTCAGGTCAGAATTTTCCAAAAATAGAACACGAAAGTCCCCCAAAATTGTTTTAAATAATTAAAAAAAAAAAATCTCCATGGGCTCCCAAGAATTTTCCGAATTAAAAAAAGAACACTGCGCTCTCAAGACTTTTCAAATGCGTAAAAAATAAAACACTAAAAGTTCAAAAGATTTTTTCAATTTCATTCAGCGACAAAACACCAGACTCCTTTAAATTTATCCAAAAATAAAACACCAGGGGACCAAAAATTAATTGCGTTTTAAAAACTTTGACAATTTCTGATACGTCAAATATTTTTAACTGCTTACTCGATTTTTGCTGATTTGTACCTTCGTTTTATATCAGGCAAACATTGCTGTCAAATTGAATTTTTTCAAATTATAAAAAAAACAACCATTTCTTTGTACATTCTAAACCAAATGGTAATTAAACATGGTCATGGGCGAGAGAAATATTAAGTAAAAGTTTTATTACTAGTTATTGTGATAATGAATATGTTGCCTAATTGTTGATAACTCCACCCAAATCTTTTTACTATTTTTCCCAGATTCACCAGTTGATTGTTAACAGCGTAGCTGAGAGTTAATCCGCCATTTTCCAAACACCCGGTATATATAATTTAAAGTAGAGGTATGTACGGACTACTTAAATATAGGTAAATCAGTTACGGTGTAGGAATATATTGTTTTATAAAATTTATATGGCATGTACTAATAAAATTTTAAGATGACGTCATCAAATTGTCGGTGGGGACGATGGATAAATTTTACTTAGCATTTTACTGTCTGCACGATATTCCTAACATACATTTTGACAACAATCGGTCTGGTAGTTTCGGAGATTAGCTGTATAATAAAAATCGACACAGAGAACAGATAGAACTTTTTCATACTCTAAGGGCCGGTTTATCAATGCTCAGTTAAAAGTGTCTGTTAAGTAACTGTCAGATAAGGGTAACTAGCAGTTAACGGAGGTAAAGTGTTTATCAATGCACGATGTTTCTTCCAGTTTCGTAGCTCGAAGTTTAGCTGTTACTCTCTTAAGTTGGTAACGCTCACCCCACTGGAAATGAGTTGTGATTGGTCATTTCAAAACTACCCCGACCTTGAAAGTTCCATCAGATTCGATCCGCACTCGGTATTCAACGATTGTATATCGCGTTTCACGTGATCAATCATGCAAAAACAAAATTTAGCATTAGAAGTATTGGAAATTAAAAATGAAACAAGTAGGTACACCTATAAATAAATACAGAGAGATCGAAAAAGAAATTAGCCAAAGTTGGCCATGGACGAAAAGGCGTTTGTCTTAGTTTAAAAGAATTTTTTATTAATCGTCACGTTGACAAAAGTAATTTGCACTGTTATCAAACGAAATTAAAGCTTTTTTGTTATTAGAATCTTCAGAAATGGGATAAATTTTAGACAAAATTGGAAAACGGTGATTTTAATTCATTCTTATGTGTTTTAAAAGTAGGGTCATAATTCTAATTACCCTACCACCGTGATTACGACAAACGGCTTGTCGTGCATGACCTACTTCGATTAATTTCTTTTTCGATCTCGCGGTATTATTAGATAGGTTTTTAATTTTTGGTACCTACATTAGACCTGGAAAATAATCAGCTAATAATAAGTGTTTTTCTCATCTTTCCTCTGTCAATTTGTTGCACAACAAAAGTCCTCATCAAAATATTGTTAAATTCATAACAGATTTATTTGGATTTGTTAGGTTATGTTGCCACTAACTGGTGGATAACGCTTTAACTGACAGTTTGAACTGTCAGTTAATTTATCAGGCACTTTGACCACCAGTTTTGAGCTAGCGGGTAATGATAAACAGGTTAACTCACAGACAAGCTTTAACTGCCAGTTACTTTAACTTAACTGCGCATTGATAAACCGGCCCTAAGAGATTATGAAACGTCGATAAAACATGAAAGCAGTCATTCTTTGGATGGGTCACTTTTTCTTACACTGTGACTGGTATTATCTGTTTTTTATCCTAAAATAGTGGATTTGTTTGATTGTACTTCAGGGGTGATGGAGGTTATGTCTAATAACTTTTTTTTAATTAAAAATAAATATTTAATTATTTACTACCATCAATAATAACGGTATTTAAGAATAAATACGCTAAAGAAGTAATAACGTTAATACTAAAATTAGTACAATAAAACATATCCAGCTTTTTGAAAAATTACAAAATTTGATTCTAGGTTATAGGTTTGTTACAGTTTTGACTTTTTTTTTTACAAAAATCTGGATGCCTAGGGTAAAAACTCAATACGGATTCATAAACTACAAGAATACGTTATTTTATACAATTTAAGTAACATTGACTGTTGTAAATTTTGGAGATGACGTCATCGCATTGGTGGTGGGGATGATTAGACAAATTTTGGTCAGTGTTTTATCATATATACGATAATCCTAATATACATACAAAATTTGACAACATGATTAAACTGCAGGTAAATAAGGATGCTATTCGTATATTTCAAGTGAGTTTTTCTTAATAAAAGGCAATTGTTTAGTAAACCATGAAATTAATTTTTATTTGACACTTATTTGACCGTAAATGTGGAATTGAACAACAAATACATTGGTATTACCAACATAATTCTGTAACATTAAATTTCAAAGCTTGTTAGACGCCTTTTTTTCTCGATCACACGAATATCAATTTGGATAACTACAATAACAACAAAACTATTTCCAGAATTTCGGGAAAATAAGGTATATCGTTTTTGAATTAAGCAATAAAATAAATTGCGCCATTCACAAATTTTTGAGACATTCTGTTTAATAAGCAAAATTAAAAAATATGAATGCATTAAGAAACCACAAATGAATAAGATTTCTCTAGTAATTTTAAACGAAAGTTAAAAATAGGCCAATAAATAAACTGGAGAAATATGTAGGAGTATTTTATAAAATTTAAGTATTTACATACATATCAGACTGTTTTGTTCACAGTTCATATAATCTATACGATATTTATTTCTAAAATACAATATTAAATTCGTAACGTAACGTAAAAACTACACAGGCTATTGCTTACGACGAACTTGAGCCACATTCCTAGTTAATACAAGTGTCGATTTTAGGGTCTTTGTTATTTTTGTTTTATTCCAAACAATCTATAGTCATGAAGTTTGGTAGTTAAAAACGACAGAAGAAAAAACTTTGTTTCTTGGTACAAAAAATGCTTTTTCGGGCCTCGTAAAACCGTCGGACTCCGTTATGATCCTACATTAATCCTCTTACTCATTTCTAGAACCTCTTTTGGTACTAACGAAGAAAATAACTATTTTTTTGTGAATAAATGAAGTCCAAACAAGCAATAAAAATATATAAGAATTCTTACTGTGGAATCTTTGTAGTGTGAAGGTTAGGAGGATGGATAGCAGCATGCGGAACATGGGGGCGTTGCAATCAGTTTCATGTTTTTTTTTTTTTAGTCAAGACCGTGAAGCGTATAGAGATGAAATTGGCCATGGTGTATGCCAGTTCCATTGATAACAAGAGTTAAAATTTTATAACTTATAAAAACTTACTTTTGTCGGTTATATTTAATCACATTTTATAATTATGCAAAATCATTTACCGAATAAATAGCAGAGATGTAGCTCCCAAAGAAACTATCACCGGTAATAACGTAGACAGTTTATCATTAGTTCGAAAAAAACAGTCAGTATAATTAGTTTGACAATATATTAGTAAATAAAATAGAAACCAAAACATTAAAACACTGAAAGCGGTTAAAAGGAACGTGATTTCTGATTGGGATGACCAGAATACACCAAAACCTCAGGGTCAAGAAACTTCTGGTGACGAAGAGCGTTTGTGTTTGGGAATTTTTCACTGGAAACGATGGAGTCAAGAAGGTTCGAGAATGGAAGCATACGAGACAGGAGGAAAAAGTTAGTGTATTAAACTCAGACAGAAAGCCACGGTTAAGAGTAGAAGTAGTTTGGATTACAATATTGATTGTTAAGAGAAGCAGCAGCTGAACTGGTGGTGTAATATAATACAAATATAGATATTTTTAAAAACGATCAGCAGGCTCTACATTTTTTTAATAAGTCTTTATTTACCACTAAGAAAAAAAAAACTTTCGGTCTAATATTAGTTTATTTTTAAAATATTATAAGTCTGCCAAAGTACAAAAATCTGGTTTAATATAATATTTTCTAAATGGGCCAACAGATACAGTGAAAGTAAGATAATTCGTGATCAGGCCATCCTTGGATGCGAATTATGTATCTCTGTCTTAATTTACTTTCACAGGGTTAGCACATCGTAGCCAAACAAATAAATAATGCAATATTACGTCCAAGGATAACTCAATTGCGAACTATCTCGAGCACGCGACATTACTGATCCAGCTATCGACCCCCTACTCTAGCTGCCCTCTTCCTGGACTACTTCTACTCATAAAGACGCCACACTTCATGCAACTATATACCTAAGAAAAGTATTAAGTTTCGCAAGACATGCCACCAACTTAGCTTCCTACAGAGGTAGACTTACCGGCAATGGTGCTTCCTCCTCCCAACCCAGAACTCCATGTTACACCCTGTACACCTATTAACGGCGTGATCGGGCACCCACAGAGTACATTCGGTCAACACATTATCTTCCAAAGCCTCCCACGACATATCCGACCGTAAAGATTCAACCGCTGAGGCTTGGCCTTCCCCCGCACTGCAAACAGACTCCACGACGGAACACTACAAACAACAAACCTTTAAACTTCAACCGCCACACCACCAACCAGTAAAAATATATATGTCAAACACAACGATATTACGCATGCTGGTAAAAAAACAGAGTCAAAATCAAATCAACAACTAACTTCACGACCATTAGTGTGTTAATTTAAAAGTTGTGGTTTTGACTGGATTGACTGACCGCTTTATTCGTAACGGGGCTCGAAATTCTTTGGGGGCTACTCAACACGCTGCGATTTGACGATTCCGATTCGCTATCAGACTACGGAAGAAATGAACGTCAAGTAGGCGGTTGATCCGGACAGTCTGGAAGAGGCGATGCCGAGGCGGCAATGCTGCCGTGGTACTCAGACCCAAATATAAGCCTCTGGGTTATCCAGCAACGAAATAGTAAACAATTTTGACCAAAAAATTGTATCGATCGGCGTCAATTTTCACTTTTTATCCTCGAGTTTTGAGGTAAGCATCGTAATTTTACGCAATTTATTGTCTAATTATGAATTGATTTCATCCAGTGCGTTTTTATTTTGTTAGTGCCAATTTAAAGGTTGGTCGTTGTCGCGAGATTAGTCACTAGAGACCTGCACAATGTTGACTTGGTATGATGTTCTGAATATTTTCTTTCATAATTGTATTGTATTGCTTGCTTTGACGTGATAATTTGGAAGAATTGGTTAAATAGCGTTAAATTCGATTATTTTTTACTTCTTGAGCGTAAGCTAAGGAAGTATTGTAATTTTTACATTACTTCGGCAGTAGTCTACAGTATACTAGGGTCTGAAGTGCTACAACCAGTTTCGCCTCGACATCGACTCTTTCTCTCGAAGTAATAAGTGCTCACGCCGACAACTTACGCTATCGTCGATTTTTTCGCTATCGTTATTGTTGCACCGATGGCACGCCTGCCTCAGGAGCGCCTGCCTGTACGTGTGCAGCTCCTTTTCTAGAAGTTCTTCTTTTCGCTGAAACAAAAGTGGTTTTTTTATATTTCTAACGTATATATTTTATATATTATTATTAATATTATTGGGACCCACCACTGACCCGGAAATGACCGACATTCAGGCAAGATTTATATCATTACGAGTGGATATTTCAGACCTTTCACTCTTTTTTGCGAAGAAAAAGTTGTTTCCACAGAACTTCCCTTAATATGAGTAGTGTAGTCTTCTTTTCACAACAAGAAAGGTAAAACATGTTTAAAATGGTAAATTTTTGTAAGAAAGTATGGATTTTGCAATCAGGCTCCGCCCCCCGGTCTGACAACGAATGAAAAATTCATCACAATTGAGCTTGGGATGGATATGGGTGGGGCTTATTTTTTTTTTCTTAATATACATAGTATTCTTTGAGAAACACGATATTGAAAAACATGTCTTACATGGTAATTTCTTGTAGAGAAATAAGGAATGTGCAATTAAGCTCCGCCCCCTTGGCTCACGACGAATAAAAAATCGTCAGAATTGAGACAGGGTGGGCGGGCGGGCTTATATTTTGCCTTTATTTTTTTAATATACATGCCATCTTTTCACAACATGAAAGTTAAACGCATTCATTAATTTTTTTGAGTCACCCTGTATAAGCAAATCCAAAAAATATTAATGGAATGATAAATCATAAATATAGACTGATCATACTGTGGACATTTTAGATAGGATTTGTTTGGCCAAATTTTGAGCTGACGCCATCAATTTTTTGGGGGGGATAAGCAAATATATTTTGATAAAAAATGTATTATGCTTATCATGACTTTAAAACATCTGCAAGATTTCAAAGCATTCGGTTTTGCAGATTCAAAATTAAATTGCAAAATGTTTTATAATTTTGATTTTTTTTCCAAAAATCTGGACGTTTCGCATACATTTTTCAAATGTTTCTACATATGTCGTTTTTGTAAATATCACAATTCCTTTCAAGTAAGAAAAAAAAAAAAAAAACAAAAATACACTAGTGAAATCATAATAAAATAAAGATTGAAATATTTAAAGTAATGAGTGATAAAGCATAACAGGAACAGGGAGAGTAAATACCAGGAAGATAAAACAGGAGTAAAAGTAGAGATCAAAGAAATGGCATAGAACAACAAACTAAAGAAAAGATACGATAAATAACGAATTGACAAAGGAGGAATTAGAAATACAAAAAAAAGTAGGGACACCGAAAGAGTATGAGAAGAGAAGTCAAAATTAAGTACCAAAAAATTGAATTTGGGGAAAAAGAAGATAGACTTAAATCAAACGTCAAAAAAACCAAAGCACTGAGAAGTAATAGCAAGGCAAATACAAACAGGCCGTACCAAGCGAACTAAATGGATATGAATAGGGAAATGAATAAAACACGTAACAAGAAAGAGAAAAGTAATGTAGAGAAGAGGAATTGTTAGCAGAAATGATAAAAAATAATGTGGAGATGCTAGGAATTACGAATACAAAAAATCTGGTGGTAAGGTTTAGATCCAAAAAAAAAGGAGCGGAAGAAGAGGTAGGATTAATAATAATACCAGACTTATTAAAAGGCATATATAAAAAAAAACTATGTAAATGAAAGAATATTAAAGATAGAAATAAAGATATTTAACCAAGAAAACGAAGATGCAACAAAAGAAACTGAAGATATCAGTATTAGATTATTTTCTAATCAGAAAAAGAAAATAGAAAATGGTAAAAAATGTAAAAGTCACAAGACAAGCTGAAAAAAAAATATTGACCACTATTTGATAAAAATAGTTTTTTAACCAAATCTAAAAAATATGAATGGAACGAGTATATATATACGAGTATGGACATTTTACTCCTAGATTTTTTTTGGAGGGGATAAGCAAATATATTTTATTAAAAATTTATTATGCTTATCGTTACTGTAAAATATCTGCAAGATTTCAAAGCATTCGCTTTTGCAGATTCAAAATTAAATTGCAAAATGTTGTTTTATGATTGTGATTTTTTTTCCAAAAATCAGGACATTTCGAGTTAAATGTCAACACGGAGTCAGAAACTACATGTGTATGACTATGTTATTTTATACAATTTAAAACCCATTTACTACGTACAATTTTGAAGTGATGACATTACAATATTAGTGGCGATGAGTAGACAAATTTTGGTTAGCGTTTTACCATCTGCAATTTTGTATTCCTACTATACTTTCGGAGATTATCTGTCTAATAATAATCCGGACAGCAGACAGACGGACAGATAAACAGACAGACAGACGGAAAAGGGAAACCTATTTTTTCGTACTCTAGGGGCCATGAAACGTCGAGAAAACGTAAAAGTGGTGAGTCGGCGACAGAGTCGATTACAATACTTCCTTCGCTTATGCTCGGAAAGTAAAAAGGAGATAATGAAACATGTCAAAACTATAGGGAAACAACATCAATGAATACAGTGGAAAAAGAAATCGCATGATCAAATTTTATAATTTTTCGAAAAAGCTGGAATTGTTTTATTGTATTTTAGGGGCGAGGGAAGTTCTGTCTTCTGTCAATTTAAGTTCCAACCATCAATATTTTTTTTACTTTTTAGTTCATCGAATTACATAATTTCTTTTTCATTTCGCGTTTTTACTTCCCGAGCGTAAACTAACGAAGTATGTATAGTAGTCTGAGTCCATCGGACGAATTGTCACTTTTATGTTTTCTCGACGTTTCATGACCCCTTCAGTACGAAAAAAGTAGTCTCCCGTTTCTGTCCGTCTGTCTCTATCCATTTATATTCGACACGTAATCTCCAAAACTGTTGCACCAATTGTTGTCAAATTTTGTATGTATGTTAATGTTAGAAATATCATGTAGATGGTTAAATACTAGCCCAAATTTGGCTAATCATCCCAACCAACATTTTGATGACGTTATCACAATGAACCGGGTTTTAAAATGAATTTAATGTTATACAAAACTATATACTGATATACTTGTAGTATACGAATCTGTTTTCAGTCTTTTCGCAAAAACAATTGCACAGTATAATAACGTGGCTCAGTGGCTCAGCGAACCGGCTTAATCTCTCTGTTTTTTTTTTTAATAGATAGAATTTTCTTTCAACAACAGGATAGTTAAACATGTTTTCAGTTTCTTGTTGGGAAAAGAAAACTTCGTATATTAAGAAAAAATGGACCAAATATAAGGCCCGCCTACCCGCCCCTTCTCAATTGTGATGAATATTTTATTCATCGTGAGTTGAATGGCGAAGTTTAGTTGCAAACTCCTCATTTCTCTACAAGAAATTTCCACATGAAATGTTTTTAAAAAGGTAGAATTTTTTAGAGGAATATTGATGTTACAATTAAAATTCGCCCTTCGGTCTGATCAGGAATGAAATTGAGATCGGGGCGGGTGGGTGGGGCTTAATTTTTGTGTGTTTTTTTTTTTAATATACATATAGGGTTTTCTTTCAACAACAGGATAGTTAAACATATTGTCAATTTCTTGTTGGGAAAAGAAGACTTCGTATATTAAGAAACAATGGACCAAATATACAAAAAATTTAAAAATGAAAACTCGAAGAGATAGGGTATAATTAAAGCAAAAAAAAAAACACGAAAAATTGTTAAAATAAAGAAAATAAAAAATTGAAACGAAAAATTGCAAAATTTAAACTTCAAAACTCGAAAAAATGAAGGAATAAAAAAAATAAAAATTGAAGAAAAAATTTAAGTCAAATAAGTTGCGGGAACGTTATTTACGCCACTGGTTTTTACTTTATAGAGGTTATCAGAAAACAAAAATTGCAAAAAAAAGATAATTTTTCAGAGAAATGGGATCTATTTGGGTGCAGGGGCGAGGGAAGTTCTGTTGATTTTTTTTTGTTCTAAATGAAGGATAAACAACTTATGAGCTAACTTTGATGCGATAAGTCCTTAGTTACGGGATCATGATATGGTTTATTACTAAATCTCTTTAATATACAGGCTGATGGAAAAATGACGTAGGTGTTCGATGGTTAAGAACGCTTTGAAGAACTCGAAAAAATGGTTTAAAAAATCCCTGCACCAAACCTTTGAAAATATTAAACGTCAAAGTTGAAGAATTAACTTTTTAATTTTGAACTGCATTGTCTGAAGACAGTTAAACAATTAGTTATGAATAATTTAATAATAATTTACTAGAATACGATTTATGCCATTTTTTATTGTTGATTCATATCATTTTTGACAATGTTTATCCGAATTTTAGATTCTCAATTAAATTCACATTAAAACATATCAGATTTACGAAGCTAATAATTAATTCTTCAATTTTGAAAGTTAATATTTTCAGAAATTTGGTTCAGATTGTTTTAACGATTTTTTTTTCGAGTTCTGCAGAGCCTTCTTAACAACGTACCATCAAGCAATTAGATCATTTTTTCATCACTTTGTATTTATACAATTTATCTTATCTATCAATATCAGCTTGGACCGCGAAAAACCTCTTTCGACGTCTGATAATGCTAAACAAACATGTCTTAACTAACTTGGTAACGTTCAGAAATTTAAAGGAATCAATCATATTAAAAACAAAATTCTAAAACGTGACATTGTTCGCCGGATGATGGTAAATTTCAGTTAATGATTATGATGGAATTGTGAAAAAAATTATAGAACAATCTACTGTGTTTACAAGTGACTGACAGTGAAAATTTTCCGTATTTTGGATCAAAAAAGAGACTTTTAGTGACTATTGCAAGCAAAAGTGATTTTAGTGATTAAAGTGACTTCAGTGGAAACCCTGAGATTTCTAATGTAAGTGATATATATTAAAATTACTTTTTTAAGCAAAACCGAAACAAATAAGATAAGATAATTTATTGGTGTTAAAAACGAATTGTTTTTTCATACTCTAGAGCGCAGAGACCAGTTCGATCAACTAAAAAAATATGGCTGAGAAATATCGTAAAAAAAGCACCATTGTATGTTTTCTTTTCAAGTTTTTTGAGTCATAACCATCATAGAATCGCTTGAAAATTCGCACATGGATAAAACATCACTTTTTACAGGGCGCAGAGTCATTAAATGTTTGTTAGTGGTACAATTTGTTTAAATAATAACGTGTTTATTAAAATCAAAATATACCACAAATTAATGCAAAATACGTAGAATAATTTTAACAGGAATATCAGAGGAAAATTAATGATCTATTGGTTAGCAGAGTTTTTAACAAAAACTAACACTTATTGAAAAAAATGGGTATCGATTCGACAGATTTTGAGTACTTTGCCGATGGGAGCGCCACTAAAATTTATGGAAGCGACTTTCCAGGTAAAACCCTTATCGCCTGCTCTACCATAAGCTGATTGTTAGCGTTCTCGGCTGATTTTTCTAATTTATGGCAAGGAACTCAGTTTTGTAACAAGCCGCCAGGACCCGCCATAGTAATCTATTGTTAAGGAAATTAACTTTTACGCAATGAGGTACTATCATAAAACCGAATTAAAACTGGGGAACTATAATATTATTACGCCACTCAGGATCCTGAATCCAATACACATGATTACTAAAAATTCATTGTAATATTATTGTTAATATATATTTTGCTTTGTTAATTAATAAAAAAAATAAATATATTTATAATAATATATAAAATACAGCTTTTGTTTAACACGTATAAGTAGCTAAGTGTATCTACTACTTATCCTATTCCGGAAAGGAGGTGTTTTAAAAAAGCCCTACGCCTAGTAACTTCTCCCTTCATTGTTTACTCGAAAAAAGTGCTCGTATATGTTTTCATTTGCCGAAAGATCATTTTCAAAATATATTTATGATAAAAATCTGCAAGTCTTGGTGATGAAAAATGTACTATTAATAAATTATTAAAGTACATAAAAAAATAGAAACAAATTTTATTTATTTAAAAAAAATCTCTCGCAAAGGCAGGTTCCTCTTTCTTCTTAAATCAATTATTCCTTTGGGTGTCCACACAACAAAATAAACTTGTGAAATACCCGTAACAAGCATTTGTCCCTAGACTTGAAAGCAGTAATCATGATTTTTTTTAGTTTCAATTCTCTGTCTGTCAATGTACAAAATTTGATTCTTTTTTTTCTAACCGCTTCTTCGGGAGACAAATCTTGCGATTTTGAAGGGCATTTAATTTCGACTAATGCACTCCTATCCTCTAGAACCCTGTCTGGACTAGCAGCCAAGTAAGGAAATTGTTTTGAACTAAACAAGCCACACCGTTCAGTTTTTATATTTTTATTTATTTCAAAACACTTGACAGCTTTTTCCTCACTTTGTTGTCCATAGTAGGTATGATTATTACCTCTAAATGTACTGTACAACAGTGTTGCTGTAGTTGAACTAAGTTTGTAAATACATCCAAAATTTGAAGCCGTAAACCTAATTTCTCTTTCTTTTGCCCAAATGCCTAGTGTCTATTTCAATTTGGTCTAAATTCAAAGATAATTTTCTCAAAAAAAAAAAAACTCTTTGGCTGTCACAAATGTTTCTACATCCATGTCAGGATTGTCCAAAAAATATTTAAACCATAATCGCAGTCGGGACCAGCATACGTACATTTTTTTACGACATATTTTTTTTACGAATACTTTGTCTAAGACGAGCTTGTTACATAGACAAACAATATTTTTTTGTTATTAAACCAGGACCGTTTTAATCACAATATATTTACTTATCCCCTCTAAAAAATTGATGACGTCACCCCAAAATTTTGCTGAATAAATCCTATCTAAAATGTACAAAATATGATGAGTCTCTTCTTGTAATTTATCATCCCATTCATATTTTTTGGATTCGGATATATAGGGTGACTCAAAAAATTTAATGAATGCGCAAATTTATTCTATTAATTCAATCAGGAACAACAAAACTGAATGCTTTGAAATCTAATGTGAAAAAAAAACATAATAGGCATGCAGTCGTCACGTTTCCGATAGCGAGGGACCATTTTTTTTTATTTTCCCATTTTCCCATTTCTCCATTTCTCAATTTTTCAATTTTTCAGTTTGGGATTTTTTCACTGTTTAGATTCTTTAGTTTTCCTTCCATTTTTAAGTTTTTCAATATTTCAGCTTTGGAATTTTGCAATATTTCGTTTCTTCAATTTTTCAAATTTTTGATATTGTGTTTTCTCGGTTTTTAAATTTTCGATATTTTAATTTTTCAGTTTTTAAAGTTTTAGTTTTTTAGATTTCTCACTGTCTCGACTTTCCGATTTTTCAGTCCCATGATTTTTCAATTTGTCGAATTTGTAATTTTAGATTTTTTGTTTTCTTTGATATTTTGAGTACTCGATCATTCGATTTTCTGAGTTTTCTGGCTTAGATTTTTTTGTTCAATTTTTGGATTTTTAAAATTTTTGTTTTTTAAATTTTCCTGTTGATCAACTTACTGGGGTTTCAATGTTTAGATTTTTTGATTGTTCAATTTCTCGATTTTTTGAATTTTTACTTTTTGATACGATTTTTTCAAAAATTTTTAGTTTTTCAATTTATTAACTTGACGATACTTCAGTTTTGCTCGATTTCGATTTCTCAATTTTTCGACATATTACTGTTGGGATTTTTCAATTTATCGATTCTTCAATTTATCGATTCTTCATATTTTCGGTTTCTCGAATTTCTTCATTTTTCGATTTCTCAATTTTCCGATTTTAAAATTTTTTTATTTTTCAGTTTTCAATTTTTCGATTAACTGATTTTTTGATTTTCCCATTTCTCTATTTCTCGATTTTTCAATTCTTTGTTCAATTGTGATTTTTCAATTTTTCGATTTCTGAATTTTTCAATGTTTCAGTTTTGGATTTTTTCACTTTTCCGATTCTTCAATTTTCCTTCCATTTTTCAGTTCTGGTATTTTGCAATGTTTCGGTTCTTCAATTTTTCTATTTTTTGATGTTTCGATTTCTCGGTTTTTCAATTTTTCGATAGGTATTTTAATTTTTCAATTTTTAAGTTCTAGATTTTCCGTTAATTTTTTTGTTTTCCTTGATGTTTTGATTTTTCGATTATTCGATTTTTCAAATTCTCGGTTAAGATTTTTTGGTTTTCCAATTCTTCGATTTTTAAATTGTTTAACTTTTAGATTGTTCAATTTCTCGATTTTTAGATTTTTCAATTTTTCGGTTTACCGATTTTTTTTCATTTAAAATGTTTCAATTTTTCAATTATTAACTTTTCGATTTTTCTATTTCCGTCTAATTTGATTTCTTGACTCCTCTACTGTTGATGTTTTGATTTCTCGATGTTTCAGTTTTTGACATTCCGATGTTTCGATTTTTCGACTTTTTCGCTTTTCGAGTGTTCAATTTTTTGATTTTTGAATTTTAGATTTTTGTTTTTTGGTGTTTCGATTTCCTAAACTGATTGGAACAGATTAAATTATGTTCCTCAAAATAGCAACTCATTTACACCATAAGAATTTTTTTCCAAAATTAAAAAAAAAATCGGAAGAAGCGATATCGGACGATAATTATTACTGTCGCTAGGGTCACCTTTTTTAAGAATTGGGATAGCATTCGCAACCTTTAGGCAGTTAGAGAAGGTACAGGTTTTAATACAAGTATTAATTAATTTTGTGAGGGGGGATAACATAATATCTCTGATAGTTTTGATTATTTCGACACTAAACCCATAGACGTCTCTAGATTTGCTGTTTCTCAATTTATTAATTACTTCTCGAACTTCGGCACAAGATAATTCCCTGAATTGAAAATACGAGACATCACTATTACAATCACTACACATTAAAAATAAGGGGTCATAATTTGAAGGAGGTATTTTGCTGGTTACATTCCTAGCAATGTTACAGAAAAAAACATTGAAATCATAAATCAAACAGATAAAACTTTTGGTTTCAACAGGACACTGCGCAGGTGTCATTTTGGGATAGGATTTGAGCAAGTAAAACAATTCAGAAGTGACGTTTCTATCAAAATTATGTTTTCGATAAATCAATTAATACATGGATTATGGAAATAATATGTATCATTGACACTACAACATGCTTAACTCACCTTATGTTCTTGTATGATTTGCCACAGCCTCTCTTGTGCGACCGACGTCACCGGTATGAGCCCGTCGTCCCCCAAATTATAGGGGTGTGTCTGGTGGTGCCAGGGCCGGCTTTGCTGTAAACCCGTCTCCCACCCGCTACTACTCGACGCCCTCGAGTACATTGGTGAAATGCTATATTTGGACATTTCTGCTTTACTGCTCGACGCATCGTTGACGAATTTCAAATTTTGAGCAGACAACTTGTAGCCGTCGGTCGAGTCGACGCCCTCTTCCGGACTTTGGAGTTTCTCGAAGCCGTTCACTTCTAAAGGGGATGAACTGCAACAAAGAGCAATGTAGAACGACAAAAGTAGAGTCCCGTTAGAGTAAAGTCGTTAGTTCTTCGAATTTAGGAAAGCGGGTTTTCGTTTTGGAAAATTTTAAACCGATGTTAAACTAACCTGGAAATGGGGTTAGCGGTAAGTGTGCGAAGAGGGGTGAAAAAAATCGACGCCAAAAGGGAATGGAAGTGTTAACGTGAGTGTACGGACAAACGGGGAAATACGAATTTCCATTTAAAAAATCGTGCATGAGAGTCGACTAAAAAGAAAAGAACAGAAAATAAACACGTGCACAAAGTTTTCGGTTACAATTTGCCGTTGAGAAAATGTAATAGTATATTAAAGAGATTCTTAAAATATAAAACTGTGCAAACAAAAATTGTGGAACCTATTGCAAAAATGGGTCAGCACGCACGCCAATTGAATACAAAGAACCGAAAGCGAGCTCGTTTTTATCATCTGACGCAATAGTAAGTTAGTCATATAAATTTAGAGTTGCGATTTTTTCATTTGAAGCTACTTTCACATTTTAGTATGAAGAGTATTTTAATCATTTCAGATTTTCTACAAAAAAATATCTTACGAGGTCAGTACAACTTTTAGGTCATTCAAGCCTGGTTTGGAAAAATTAGTCTCAATTTAGTGGTGTTCAATTTAATATTTGAACAAATCTTAAAAATTAGATTCCTTTCGTTTTCACTTTTTGGTAACAAAAATTTTTAGTAGTGATATGTTGGGGGTTCTAGCCCAGTCTGATCTAATGCTGCTGCCGCAAGAGTGAATTTACGTAAAAGCATTATTCACAGGATTTTCCTCATTTCCAAAACAATTTTTCGCTTGAAATAATTCCTTCCAGTTATGGAAAAATTATTTCTATTAATCCTATCCCTCAAAATCAATGTCATCATCCATTTTTTCAGTTGACAATACTGTTTAATAAAGAGGCTTTGTGTGGTATCAAAGCAAAGCTCTGAGTACGTTTCATCATCTAATACAAGTGATTTTGGATATTCAAGAACTCATTCGGTTCTACCAACCTATTTAAGTGAATTTAAGAGAAATGTGAGAAAGCCGTCTTGTTAATATTTACAGAAAAATTGTTCCAAAATTATTTAGTAGAGCTTCCCCCGCATATGAAGCTTAATACATCCAGTCCATTTTTTAATATAAATAAAAAAATGGTCGAAGATTACTTGTCATATCCAGCTCTTTCAAAAAAATAAAAGATTTGATTTTGCGAATTTTATTGTTTTTTTTTAATGGCAACTATTATAAGCTAAAATAAAAATATGTATCAAAGTTTGAGTAAAGGTAAAGAAACGTGCCAACCATTTGTTACAAGTGAATTTTTCTATTACAAAATTTTCTACGAATTGTACTAACCGGATCACAATGCCGACGGTCCAGACTTTTTTATTGTTCTGACTTCCGCTTATTGAATAAAATACTACATTTTATTTTGATTTTCGATGTTGTAATTCACATTTGGTTAATTATAACTTGCCTCTCCTTAGCTACGGCGTTATCTAGGGGTTATGAAATATCGAGAAAATATGAAAGTACCAAATTGCCCGATGGACTCCATTGCTGTACGTCCTTAGGTTATCCTCGATAAGAAAAACAACTTAAAAGTGTTTGTTTATACATCGGAAGAATGTCTCACAGAAATTAGTTTGATTTGAATGAGTTCGTGCCCTCAAAACAGAAGATCAAAACTATTAAGTAGTAAGCTACAATCGACAAAATGTTCTGAATATCATTATAATTCTTATTAAATAAAGACATTTGTATTTTCACATTTTCGGGGAGATGGGGTGACTCGACCTTAACTTGATCAACAAAAATATTAATGTATTGATGAATCACAAGTAAAAACTCATCATATTTTGGGTGGAATTTATTCGGCAAAATTTTAGATGACGTCATCAATTTTTTGGGGTTGATAAACATATACATTTTGATTAAAAAGTTACCATGCTGAAGATAACTTCAAAACGTCTGCAAGATTTCAAAGTATTCGGTTTTGCAGATTCACAATTAAATTGTAAATGTTGATTTATAATTTTGATTTTCTTTCCAAAAAACTGGACACTAAAAACTCAACACTGAGTCATAAACTACATGTGTAGGACTATGTTGTTTTATACAATTTAAGACCCATTTAGTACGTACAATTTTGAAGTGACGTCATCACATTATTAGTGAGGATGATTGGACAGATTTCGGTTAGCGTTTTACCATCTATATGACATTACTAATATAAATACAAAATTTGACAACAATCGGTCCAGTATTTTCGGAGATTATCTGTCTAATAAAAAACCGGACGGCAGACAGATGGACGAAAACGGGAGACCTATTTCTTCGTCCTCTAGGGATCATGAAAGGTCGAGACAACGTAAAAGTATTGAATCCGTCAGATGACGAAAAACAGACAGAGGGAAACGGGAGACCTACTTTTTCACGCCAAATAGAACCTATTAGAAATTATAACAGTTTTGACGGGTAAATGATGACACCAATGCTCACAAATTCCCGAAATCCTGAAGACATAGAAACTTGGAATTTCGTTCCGATTTTCATGTTCGTCAACCCACACAAACTGAGAATGCAATCAAGTCTATATAAAAAATCGTAAAATTGGATTATACAACTTTATTTTTTTAAAGGTAAGTCGTATACGTAGTTACAATAGGTGAATGTTAAAGCAAGTTAAATTTTAAGATGACGTCATCGATTTTTTCTACGGGATATACAAATATATCTATCCAGCGTTTTACTATCTTCACGATAATACTAAACTACTTAAAATACACTTAACATTTCAACTTAAAACACTTAAAATTCCAACAGACGCCTTCAGACCGAAACGGGAATCTACCTTTTAGTAAAGTAAAAATTTACACGGACAATTTTACTAAAAAGCGGTACAAAATTTTATTCAGGAATATTTTTTGTCTTTTCTGGCAGCTGATAATTGACGAAATTTTGTGCAAAAGAAAAAAATCTGTCGTTCGAATTTTGTCCGCCATTTTAAGCAACGTTCTTAGAGTTAAAAAAAATATTTCACGCGTCCCACGTGCCGCTCCCCTACCTGATATTATGACTATCCGAAACTAACGTATCCGTACTAGTCTCCAGCCTCTCCGCCGCCCCCACGTCGCACACCGTGTTCTCCGACCTGCTCTCGCTCTTCTCCGTCAGCTCGTTATCCGAATCTACTTCGCTACTATGGTTATAGGACGGCGTCAACTCCTCATTCAAGCACGCATTTTTCAACACAGCCCGAACGTCCTCCTCGCACTCATCCACGTCAGTCTTATCACCGTTTATCACATTGTCGGTCAGAACGCCACCGTCCGTCGTCGCACTACCGTCCACTGGCACTACGTCAAACGTCGGTCTGCCGTTCACTCGCACGTCTTTGTATATACAGTCCCTGTTGCACTCGACCTCGTCCGGGTCGTTGGATAAAAAATCGCCACCGTTGGACGACAGCTGCGGAAGCTGCTGCTGGTCGGCGGCGGCGTGGCCGTTGACCATGTCCTGAGCTGGGGCGCTGCTGCTTTCCTGAGGAATCACTAACTTCTTATCGATATTAATACTAGGGTCGCTGCTGCGTCGGAACTGGGTCGGGCCGGTGCCGACGTCGGCGGCGTTGATCAGGTCGCCGTACGAACGCGTCTTCGTCATGTGCGACGGGGAAGACTCGGGCGGGCCGGGGCAGGAGCCGGAACCGCCGTCGGTGCTGAAGTTCACCTCCCAGGAGCCGAGGTACACCTCGTGCCAAAGGTGGAGGTCGCGGACGTTGGACTGCGGCCAGAGGACCTGAAACATCGTTGACAAATACCAGGATCAGCTTACTTTCTTAGCCGAGGATGCGCGCGCATTTTCGATTACGTCATACCGACTCAGCGTAACTAACAAGATTAAAGTAACCGTGTGTACTGTTCGATATTTCATTAATTGTTAGAAAAAGTCAAACAGCGACTTTGTACGGTTTTTTGAGCAGCATAAAGTAACGTAATTTTTAACTATACAGGGAATTTTTTGAGTTATTTTACTTTTTTAATGGAACACATTCTTTATTGTTAAAATTCCGTTGCGATGTTGCCAAATACTTTGTTTTCTGTTTTTTTTTTTCATATTGCATAGATCTACGAAAAACACAATACAATTTGTAATTTGAAAATTATAATTACATACTTTTTTTTAAACACGTTTTATTTCTCTATAAAATATTGCGACAGGGATGTTAAAAATCACCCCATCAGGATTTTCTTGTGAACTCTTGCGTTAGTAGAAAATTTGAATAACTCGGCAACGTTGCATCGGAATTTCAAAAATAAACCATACAGACTAAGAAGAGTTCGATCAGAGTATATGTATATGTTCCACTTCAAAAAACTAAATTATATGTTGTCTGAAAAAGAGAACACTCTGTATAGTTGAAAACGGTTGAAAATAATTTTAGTGTATGCCACGCAAAGAACACATATTTATATTTAGTGATGATTCGTCCTGTATATGTATACTTTTTTGTCAAAACACTCTAAATTTTACTGCGGCATTTCACTGTTTTCTGTTCTTTTTCTCAATATGTTAGCGCGTTTGTTAAAAATATTAAAAAAAATAGCAAAAATGATCAACAATCAACCAAAAAGAAAGAGAATAAAAATATTTTTCTTAATTTATAATACATTTTCATCAAACACATTGTATACAAATACTCCATTTTATTGGTACTATAATAAGGCGTATGTCTTAGTTATAAAATATTGCAACAGGTGTTCAAAATAGCCCTGTTGCGAATTTTTTGAACCTATGTATTATTAAAAAATTCAAGAAAATTGCAATTGTTATGTAAAACTAAGGGTATTTCATGAAAAAAAGTTAAATATATTGTCCCTCAAAAATCATGATACGTATATTATCATATTATTATATTATAAAGTAGAGTTTGCCAAATAATGAACCCAATAATCTGCTCAAAATTATAGTGTGATTATTTATAACGCTTGTCTGCGTTTGGGTCGTTTGTTCAAATGGGACATCATTGACCATTAAAACTTACAATGTTTTCATGCGCATCTGATTCATAGAGCCTGTGTTTGTTTCAGACAAGCAATCAGAGAGAAGATCTGGGCTGTAAATTATCATTACCATAACCCTAAGTGGTTTATTGGTGACTTTCAACGAACAGAAAGTGAATGTTCACTATTCGGTGGACTCTGTTTTAACATGGTATATTATTATATTTAATTAAAATTTTGGTGGTGAAATATAACGTCCATTGGTCAATCTTTACAAAGCAGTACGGTAAATTAAAAACTTAGGTATTATTTTTAAAACGTAAAAATTGTGAAATATTTAAATGACCGTATGTTAACAATTTTTCGTATTCCAAAAATTAAAAAAAATATTGCCAAAATTCAATAATAACTAGAAAATTTGTCGACAATCACTTCTACAGAACTTCTCTCGGCCCTGAAGTACGTCTAACAAATCCTTCGAAATATAAAAAAAATGGTTCGCAATTTTTTTTTCGTGATAACCTCTATAAATTAAAACATAATACTAGTCACATTGTAAGGATAAAAAAGGCCCAAAGGGGGATCGAACGTACGCGATTTTGGATTTTTTTAGCGAAAATCTGGATCCCTGGAGATAAAACTCAAAAGCGGATTCATAAACCACAAGTGTATGGGTATATTATTTTATAAGATTTAAATAATGTTTAATGTACGGCATTATAAAGTCACGTCATAATTTGTTGGTGAGAATGATAACAAATGTTCATTGGCGCCTTTTACTGATATACAACATAACATTGATCGAAAATTTGACAAAAAACGGCTCAGTTGTTTGGGCGATTATCCGTCTAATAATAGACCGACGGACAGACAGAAAGATGGATAGAAACAAGACCTACTCTTTCGTAGTCTAGGAGTTATGAAACGTCCAGAAAACATGAAACTAGCGGTTCGTCTGATGGATCTTATTAAAACATTTCCTTAGCTTACGCTGGGAACGTAAAAATGCTTAATTAATAATAATAAAAAAAAAGAAACGAACAACAAAAAGGGTAAAATCTTCCCACCTGGCAAAAATTAATTTGCAGAACAGTGTTAAGAACTGTTGTTTTAACTTTTCAAATTTTCCATTTTGGCCTATTTCGATTTCTCAATTTTTCGATTTTTTGACTTCTCGACCTTTCCATTCCTCGATATTTTAATCTTTCGATTTTCCAGTTTTTCGTTGTTTTAATTTTTCAATTTCCCAATTTTGCGTCAGTTCAGTTTTAGAATTTTTCAATTTCTCGGTTTTCGACTAATTTTTTTTTAAGATGTTTCGATTTCTCAAATTTTTATTTTATTGATCTTCAATTTTTCGATATTTGATTTTTTCAATCATTTAAATTTTCGATTTTTCTTTTGAATTCCTCGATATTTCTATATTTTAATGTTTCTACTTCTCGATTTATAGAAATTTCGATTTATTGATTTTTTTAAATTGTAACGTTTCGTTTTTTAGATTTTGGTCTCCCGATTTCGATTTCTCAATTTTTCGACTTCCGACTTTTCCATTTATCGATTTTGAATCGTTTGATGTTCCGATTTCTCAATATTCCAGTTTTTGTATAACTCGAATTTTTTGACTTTTCGGCTTTTTCCTTTTCCAAATTTTCGATTTCTCGATTTTTGTGATCTTTTAAACTTTGTTTTAATTTTTCGATTTTTCTAGTTTTTCAATTTTGCGATTTTGCAACATTTCGATTTTTCATTTCTTCAATTTTTCAATTTCCCAATTTTTCGTTAGTTCAGTTTTGGAATTTTTCAATTTCTCGGTTTTCGGCTTTGCAATTTTTTGTTTTTTGGATTTTAGATTTTTCAATTTTAGTTTTTTTTTATAGTGTTTTGATTTCTCGAATTTTCATTTTATCGATCTTCAATTTTTCGATATTTTATTTTTTCAACAATTCAAATTTTAGATTTTTCAATTTTTTAATTTCCCGATTTTTCGATTTTTCAATTCCTTGATATTTCTATACATATTTCAATTTTTCTATTTCTCGATTTGACGCGATTTCAATGTTTTGATTTATAAATTTTTTTTAATTTAAATTTTTCAATTTTTGACTTCTCGTTTTTTAAATTTTAGCCTATTTCGATTTCTCAACTTATCGATTTTTCGACTTCCGACTTATCCATTTCTCAATTTCTTGATAGTTTGACGTTCCAATTTTTCAGCTTTTTGATTTTCCAAATTTTCTATTTTTTCATCTTTTGTGATATTTTAAACTTTGGATTTTCGATTTCTCGATTTTTCCGTTTTTAATTTTTCTATTTTTCTTTTTCTAGTTTTTCAATTTTGCGATTTTGCAACATTTCGATTTTTCAATTCTTCAATTTTTCAATTTCACAATTTTTCGTTAGTTCAGTTTTGGAATTTTTCAATTTCTCGGTTTTCGGCTTTCCAATTTTTTGTTTTTTAGATTTTAGATTTTTCAATTTTAATTTTTTTTATAGTGTTTTGATTTCTCAAATTTTCATTTTATCGATCTTCAATTTTTCGATATTTTATTTTTTCAACAATTCAAATTTTAGATTTTTCAATTTTTTAATTTCCCGATTTTTCGATTTTTCAATTCCTTGATATGTCCATACATATTTCAATTTTTCTATTCCTCGATTTGACGAGATTTCAATATTTTGATTTATAATTTTTTTTTAATTTAAATTTTTCAATTTTTGACTTCTCGTTTTTTAGATTTTAGCCCAACTATTTCGATTTCTCAACTTTTCGATTTTTCAATTCCCCGATATTTCTATATTTCAATTTTTCTATTTCTCGATTTATCGAGATTTCCGTGTTTAGGTTTTTCGATTTTTTTTATTTTAATTTTTTCAAATTTTTAAGTTTTCGTTTTTTAGATTTTGGCCTACCTATTTCGATTTCTCAATTTTTCGACTTCCGACTTTGCCATTTATCGATTTTTCGATAGTTTGATGTTCCGATTTCTCAATGTTTCAGTTTTTGTATATTGCGATCTTTCGATTTTTCCCCTTTTCAATTTTTGTTGTTTCTTAAACTTTGGCTTTTCGATTTTTCGATTTCTGTTTTTGGATTTTTCAACTTTTCGATTTCTCGATTTTTCAATTTTTCGATGTTTTAATTACGCAACTTTTCAATGATCCGTTTTTTTAATTTTTCAATTCTTAAAATTAAAAAGATTTTCCGAATTTCAATCTTCTTGAATTTTTAAATTTAACATTTTTTGACTTCTCGGTTTAGATTTTTCGGTTTTTCACTTTTTGGATTTTTAAAATTCTTGATATTTCGGTTTTTAAATTTTTTGATTTCCCAATTTTCCGATTTTTTGATTTTTCAGTTTTTGAAATTTTAGATTTTTTTCGTTTATATTTTATATGATTACCCGACTTTTTGCTTGTTGAGTTCTTCGATATTTCTGTTTGAGCATCACACAAGATCAAAGTCGCAGAAAAACGGAGGGCGAACACGGTCTATTTTTCTTCTTGGTGCGCATGCGTGACTTTTAACCAAGGAGAATCTGATGTTGCGTGACTTACAACACAATTCTTTTAATTCTGTCAAGGTGTTGTAAAACGGTATGCTTCTCTTACCGTCTTTGTTTGACACACTGTATTTACGCAGTATGCGTTCCCGCCCCTAAAATGCTAAGAAGTGTGGGCATTCTTCACCTGTGTAAATACAGTGTGTCGGACAAAGAAACAAACAGGAACATATCAGATATCGTAAGTGGTACAGTTTTACAACGCCTTGCCAAAAATTAATATAATACTGTACCCCACATGAATTGAAATTTAACCCGTGTCGTTAACCAGTTTGACAATTACGCTGAAATAACAGTCAAAGTGCCAAACAGAATTCAAATTTAAAAAAATACATACACCTATACTTGTTTATAAATCTGCCTTGAGATTTTTCGCTACTATTAGTAAGCATAAGCGGAGTTCTTAAAAGGTTATTCGTTAGCTTATCGCATAGAGTGTCTTCGGACTTAACGCGAAAATCAGATGCGTACATTCGAATGCGGCATTGGGTTTTTTGTTTCTTACACTGTTACTATTATTATCTATATTATTATTAGTCTTATACTGCACGTGTCAGAATTGGCATACGTGTCCTTGCTGCAAAAATGTTGATTGGAACATTTTCAAATGGGAAATGTGGGCAAAGCCAATGTAATTCAGTTTTTTTGAGCAATTTTTAATTCGTTTCCTATCCTAGGTAGAGGATTAGTGCATTCTAGACCATATATAAACAAGTTAATACAGTAAATTTTCGTAACATAATGCGTTCGAATCATAGACAGTGGTGGTGTTATATATTTAACACACCGTACAGATGAGTTAAACAATAAATTCTAGACAACAATACCTGATATTATAAGTTAAATAAACTTTAATAAATCGCTAAAAAATCATCACATATTCTGGGAAGTGGTTACAAAAGATCTCTCAAATTACAGCACAGGGTGACACCATTTTCTCCTGACATATACGTGTATTCACAAAAATAAAGGTTAGTTTTAATTTAAATTTCAAAAATACCAACGAATCGATGCGGAAAAAATGTCAATTCGGAATAAATAACTGCCCTTGTATTTAAAGATTTTCTATAATCATTGAACTCAAACCGCAACTGCCACGTGACTCCATTCTTTCGCGAATTGAAAGCACTTTGGAAAACAGTACACATGAAACTTATAAATTATTCATTTATCTCTTGGAAGCAGTAAAATTTGAGGCTAATGCGTGTTCAGACTTTTAAATTCCGATTTAATCCTTCTCTGGGTTTTATATTACGACCATTATTATTTTCACTTTATATTAACGATCTTCGTGGTAATTTTTCCCTAGAATATAACTTTTTGTTGATCATAAAATTTTAAGTTGAGGTAACAAAAAATTGTAAATGGTGAATAATGTAAGGGCACAATGTGTTGAATTTTTGCACGAGATGTGATAAATTTTAGCTGTAAACGTTGCAATCTTTAATAAAAAATAATAATAAAACGCGCTTGAAACTGCTTTTAGTTTCAATTTGTTTGCGAAAAAACTAGATATTAAATCGACCGTTCTTTGGACTATTGCTATATAAATTTTCCACCAATGCGAAATGTGCCACTTTTCGTACTCATTACGAAATAATCACATTCTACGCATAATGGTAACGTAACGGGATGAGTGTTAAAAACATACCCTGCTCCCACCACCGTTTCCAGGTGGCGCATACAAGTGATTCCTAAACCTCGGCGAGTTCAAAAACTCCCACACCGAAAACGTTTTTCCGTTGACCACTTTCATGCGTTCTTGGAAAGTGTTGCACAAGAAAGTTCCATACAGATTGGAATAAATGTGTTGAGCTAACTTCACCTGCAACACAGTCAACATTATTCACCCAAAACCAACATTAAGTTATATACACTCACAAGATAAGTCTGCGAAAACTCAAAAGAGCAATCGAACTGTAACAAAAGCTGATGCACGCAGTCCAACCACTGCAGAAAAACGGGACAGCGCTCGTTCGGGTCGCCGTTTATCGTGTGGCCACACCTGTCGGCGAACTTGTGACCAAAAGCTAACCATTCGCGCTCGATCAAAATTCGGAAACCCTGTTAACAAAAAATGAGTATGAAGGTTGACTGAGATTTTGTGTACTCACCTCGATGGTTCGGTAAAACGGGTCTAGTAAAAGTTCGGCCAATGAGACGATTTGGGGCGTCCTATCCCATCCGTCGGAACAGTGGACTAGAACAGGTCTTGCATCGCGATCTACGGCAGTTACTAAAGTTACGGCTGCTTTCATCAAACCCGACATATGTTGTAACCAACGGGTCCCTTCCAACTGACTAAACCAACTGCAATTTTCGATTTTAACATTTTTAACTCAAACGCTCAACTGAAAATTGTTCTAAATTTTTAGAAGTCACCAAATTCAATTCTAGTACCTAGAGTGGTGATCACTAGAGAGCGGATTTCTGTCGGGCTAGACAAGGCCAAACTCGGTACGGCTCGTACGGGATGGGAATTCATTGCATTTACCGGCTGCACTTCGTTTATTTGAGATTAGAATAACGCTGCTTCGTTGCACTCTGCTGTTAATTCCAGTTCTCATTTAGTTAGCCGTTTGATTAATAAATCGTTAATTGTATTTATGGAATCAAGTGGCAATTAAATTCAGTGATTACCTATCACCCGCTACTGAGTCCCGGCGATGCAGCGCGTCCCCACTAAAATCGTGACGTAGCCCGACAGAAATCCGCTGTCTAGTGATCACGTAAAAGTAGCATGAACAGGCTGCGCTAAATCCAAGCAAGAAAAGTGCCTGTTTTCTAACCAAGAGGAACGGTAGGTTTATTGTGTGTTGATCGCGCCCTTTTATCACGCATTTGTTGAACATTAGAAAAAAAAAATGGTCGAAGGAATGTCCTTAGCCCTGAAGATAAGCACTAAAAATGCCGGTTCTTTTAAAAAATTGTCAAAATTTTTGCGATTTTTGTTTTCTAATAACCTCTATTAAGTAAAAATCAGTGGCGTAACACTTCCGCAGCTTTTTGACTTAAAATTTTCAATTCTTCCATTTTTCATTTTTCTTAATTTTTCAATTTTGCAATATTCCGTTTTATAATTTCTTATTTTGCAATTTCAATTTTTTCGTTTCTTTAATTTTTCGATTTTCAATTCCATGAGTTTTGAATTTTCAATTTTTCGATTCTTTAATTTTTTATATCTTCAATTTTCCGATTTGCAATTTTTCGTTTCGGTTTTTTCTTTTCTTTATTTCTTCAGTTTTTCCATTTGCATTTTTTTAGTTTTCATTTTACGATTTTAGAATATTTTAATATTTCAATTACTGGATTTTTGAAAATTTTCATTTATCGATTTTTAATTTCACAATTTTTGGATTTTTTCCATTCAATTCGTTGTTTTTTCCTTCTTTCTACAATTTCGATTCATTACGTTTTTTCAATTTTTTAATTTTATCCGGTCTTTAGGCTTCGACTTTTAATTATTCGATTTTTGAAGTTTTCGAAGGCAAAAAATGGAAAAATTGCAAAATTATACAATGAAAAAACGAAATAGCATAAAATGAAAACTTTGAAAAATATAAAAATTGGATATCAAGAACTTAAGAAATTGAAGAAACAAAAATTGTAAACCCTATATTGAAAATTAAAGAAATCAGAAGATCGGGTAATTAAGAAATAGAAAAATTGCGAAACTTGAAAAATTTAAAATTTGGAAAATTAAATAAACGAAAAATTACAAAATAGGAACATTGAAAAAATAAAGAAAACCAAAAAATGAAAAAACAAATATCAAGAACTTGAAAAACTGATTAAACGAAAAATTGAAAAATCGCAGTTTCAAAAATTGAGAGAATGAAGAATCGAAAAATTGCATAATTGAAAAATTGTAAATCGAAAAATTGAAAAATTTTGGAATCAAGAAACTGAAAACTTGAATCAATTGAAGTTCAAAAAACTAAAAAATTTGAATCCGAAATATTAAAAAATAGAAAAATTAAAAAATGAAAGAAAAAGGAAAAATTGGGATGACAAAAACTTTCTGTTTCTTCAGTTCCTTGATTTGTAATTTTTTGTTTTTTCAGTTTTTCGATTTTTTTATTTTTTTCCGATTTTTTAGTTTTTCAACTTTTAATTTTTCGATTTTTTGTTTTCGAATAAAAAAATGGCAAAATAGCAAAATTGTACTATTGAAAAATCATAAATGAACAAAGTATAAAAAGCGAAAGCTGAAAAATAAAAAAAATTGGAAATAAAGAACTTGAAAAATTGAAAAATGGAAAGAATAAAAATTGAGAAACTTAAAAATCGAAAACGTGTAAAACCGAAAAAACGAAACATTGTAAAACCTAAATATTCAAAATAAAAAAAATCGGAAAATCGGGTAAATGAGAAATCGGAATTTGGAAAATTAAATAAACGAAACATTACAAAATTGAAACAAACATTGAAAAAATAAAGAAAGTGAAAAATTGTGATATAAAATCGAGGAAATGAAAATAAAAAAATCGGGAAAATGAAAAATACAAATCGAGAACTTGAAAAACTGAGGAAACGAAAAATTGAAAAATCGAGAAATCAAAAATTGAAAAATTTGGAAGTCGAGAAACTGAAAACTTGAAAAATGAAAGAAAAAGGAAAAACGAAAAATTGTGATATCAAAAATTGTAAAAATTTTTCAGTGCTATAATTTCCTGTATTTTCAGTTTTTCGATTTTTCGTATTTTTTCCAATTTTTTAGTTTTTCGACTTCTAATTTTTCGATTTTTTAAGTTTTCGAATCAAAAAATGACAAAATAGCAAAATTGTACAATTGAAAAATCAAAAATGAAAAAATCGGAAAAATAATAAACAAAAAATCATGATCTTGAAAAATTGAAAAATTACAAAAAATTAAGGAAAAAAAAATCGAAAAATGAAAAATTGTAATATCGAAAAATTTCGAAGTCGAGAAATTGAAAATTTGAAAAAAAAAGTTCAAGAAACGAAAAATTATTAATCCGAAACATTAAAAATAGAAAAATGAAATAAAACAGGAAAAATTGTGATATCAAAAAAATTGTTAAATTTTTTCAATGCTTCAATTTTCCCATGCTTCGATTTGTAATTTTCCGTTTTTTTTAGTTTTTCAATTTTTTAAGTCTTCGAATCAAAAAAATGGAAACTGAAAAATCTAAAAATTTGAAATCAAGAACTTGAAAATTTGAAGAAACGAAAATTTGAAAAATCGAAAGATTAAAAACTGAGAAATTTAAAAAAATAAAAAAAGTGTAAAACCAAAAAAAAACGAAATATTGTAAAACCTAAATATGGAAAATTAAAGAAATCGGAAAATCGAATAATTGAGAAATTGAAAAATGCGAATTTGAAAAATTTAAAATTGGGAAAATTAAATAAATAATTATATGAAATTAAAAGAAACATTGAAAAAATAAAGCAAATGAAGAAGCGAAAAATTGTGACATAAAATTAAGAAAACGAAAATTAAAAAATTGGAAAAATGAAAAATTAGAATTAAGAACTTAAAATTTGCAAATGGACAAATTGAAAAATTAAAAAAGTTAAAGTTGAAAAAACGAAAAATGAAAGAAAAAGGAAATCGAAAATCTGTGATATCAAGAAATTGTAAATTTTTTTCAATGCTTCAACTTCTCGTTTTTCGATTTTTTAAGTTTTCGAATAAAAAGAAATAGAAAAATAGCAAAATTGTATAATTGAAAAATCAAAAATGAAAAAGAGAAAAAATATAAAGTTTGAAAACTCTAAAAATTGGAAATCAAGAACTTGAAAAATTGAAGAAACGAAAAATTGAAACATCGAAAGATTAAAAATTGAGCAAACTTAAAAATCGGAAAAAGTGTAAAACCGAAAAAACGAAATATGTATTGTGAAACCTAAATTTGAAAATTAATGAAATCGGAAAATCGGGTAATCAGAAATCGAAAAATTCGAATTCGAAAAATTTTAAATTTGAAAAATTTAATAAACGAATAATTATAAACTTGAAAGAAATATTGAAAAAATAAAGGAAATGAAAAATCGAAAAATGAAAAATTGTAATACATATCGAAAAATGGCAAAATTTAAAAATTGCAAATCGAAAAATTGAAGTTCAAAAACCGAAAAAATGTGATATCAAAAAATTGTAAAATTTTTTCAATGCTTCAATTTCAAGTTTCTTCATTTTTTCGATTTTTCAGTTTTTCGAATCAAAAAAATTGGAGAACAGCAAAATTGAAAATGAAAAAACGAACGAAAAAGCATACAATGAAAACTTTGAAAAATGTAAAAATTGGAAATCAAGAACTTGAAAAATTGAAGAAACGAAAAATTGAAAAATCGAAAAAGTGTAAAACCAAAAAAACGAAATATTATAAAACCTAAATATTAAAAATTAAAAAATCGGAAAATCGAAGAATTGAGAAATCGAAAACTGAATTTGAAAAAATTAAAATTTGGAAAATTAAATAAACGAAAAATTATAAAATGGGAAGAAACATTGAAAAACATAAAGGAAAGGAAAAAACGAAGAACTGTGATACAAAATCGAGAAAATGAAAATAAAAAAATTGGGAAAATGAAATTAAGATCATAAAACTCTTGCAAGATAATAATGCATTCGGTTTCAAAGTTAAATTGCAAAATTTTGTTATACAATTTTTTTTCCAAGAACTTTACGGTGAAAACTCAACACGGATTCATACACCACAAGCACAGGAATATCTTATTTTATGAGAACAAAAACAAATTCACTATTGTAACGTCATCAAACTGTTGGTGGGATGATAGCGAAATTTTGGTTTGCGTTTTACTATATAATACATGATATTCCTAATATAGATACAAAATTTAACAACAATCGATCCAGTAGTTTCGGACATTATCTGTCGAATAAAAATCTGGACAGACGGCAGATAGACAGACAAAAATGAGAGATGTATTTCTTCGTACTCTAGAGGTCATTTAAAACCTCGAGAAGACATAAAAGTAGACAGTCGCCCGATGGATTCGATTACAATAATTCCTTAGCTTACGCTCTCGAAGTAAAAATTTAGTATCCTTTGATTTCCTTACATCTATTATGAAAGTATTTTTTTTTTTTTTTATTATTTAATTCACCTTTCTCGAACGATTGGAGTACTTTCGTTACTCAATGTCAAAACATTCCAACAACCAAAACCCTCACCTCCAGTGACTTGTAAAAATTTAGAAGCAACTTTCGGCCCCAACTTCAAATCCACTCTAGTCACAGCTACTTCATACTCACTTTGGCTGATCCGCCGACGACATACACAACAGCCTTAAAGCCTGAAAGCTCTTCCTGATGGAATGTATGTTGGCCAAATTCATGAACGTTATTTCACAATTTGGATAGTACTCTGGGCACTCGCAGCCTCCGCCCCTCGCCCTGTTCGCTACGGCCGTGGTGTACGACCTGGCGTCCATTATCAGGACCTTCTTCTCCTTGTTCCCTATGTCCGACGTGATCTGAAGGGAATCCTCCGAGTGGTGAGAGCCGGGCGAGTGTGAAAGGTCCGACTCTCGGTCGCTCCTCGGGTCGAAACTGCACGCTTGCGAGATGGCTTTGATGAGGTCCTCGTCCTCGCTGGAGCGCCAGCCCAGCCAGCCGACCTCGGGTTGGCTGCAGCGGGCGATGACGGCGCCGTTCTTGGTGTGTCTAAAATCGTAAAATAACGTTATTTATTTATTTTTTAATTAAACTTCGGTGGGCGAAGCGTTATAAGAGTTCTGCGAGTAAGTAAATGCAGAACTTTTTTAACGCTTAACAATGCGTTAAAAAAGTTCCGCATTGTTAAGCGGAAAACTTGCCAACCATATGAATAAGACACTACATTTTCAAAATATTTTGCTTGGAAGTAGCCTGCGGTTGAACAGAGTCGTATATGCGCCACTTTTAGTTTGCATTGTAGTTATTCCATCAAAATCAAAAAAGAATGCGAGACATGAAAACCAGAGAAATGAAATCAAAACAATAGTAGAAAGATAAGATAACGGATGGTAAAATTACGGTGAAACATGCATGCATCAAACACATATCAAAAATAAAAAAGAAAGGTGATAGAGGAAGAATATGAGAGAGAAGTAGAGAGAAAAACACTTTAGGAGTTACTCGACGAAAAAAATATAACATGCGCGAAATCAGTTTCAAGAAAAATGAAGAAAACGGAAGGGGAAGTACCACAAGATAAAAAAAAATAGTCCAAGGCTATTTCGAGACAACGTCCCAACTTATACATTTTTTTGAGAATTTATAAAATTTGGTATTGAGAATTTTTTTTTAAGATAATCCCTATAAGTTAAAATCAAGATGTGTGAAGTAAAGTAAAGGTTAAGAACATGTTATTGGCATGTTTCAAGCGAATTTCTCCATTAGAAATTTTTTTGATGACATCATCAACATTCACTTGCAAGGACAGGTATATCACCAGAGGATTGTTTACGGATTTTCTATCTGTCTGCTATCGATGACTCAATTTTGCATTGATCTAAGCGCATCATTCTAAGAAAACATGAACTCAGAACAGGAAGCGGAGACTGAAAAGTGAAGCAAGTCGAACATCATCGCAAAAGATGAAAAATCTGCTCTAACGCTATTTAGATAGAATTTGCTTTGCACTTGAAATAAAACATTCAAATTCAAATAAATAAATAAATAAATAAAGATAATATTAAAAATGGCCAGGACGGGGGCGATCCAGCGCTTTATCCACTCGGTCACCACGTGTTTGTTATTTGATGTGCGTAAATCAAGGCGGATTCATAAACCACCAGTACGGCAGTTTTATTTTATAAAATTTAAAAAATATTTACTATATAAAATTTTAAGGTCACAATCAAATTGTTAATGGGGATGATTAGGTAAATACTGGTTAGCGTTTTACCATATACACGAAATGGGAGACCTTTTTTTTAAACTCGGGGTATGAAATGTCGAGAAAACATGAAAGTAGTCATTCATTATCATTAATTACAAAAACTAAAACGAAAAGCATGGAAATTAAAAGGAAAAATCAATCAAGAAAATCGTTAAACATAGGCAACCATGTGCACGTTTAGTTCTTGTTGGGTAGTCGGTAGATCTTCTAAGGAATTTTCTTTGAGAGGGTTGATAGAAGTTGATTTGGTGGCTAAAGGGGCGAGAGGTGTCACTTTTGATTTGTTTGTTGTGTGTGAAACCGCATGGTGAGTAAGCTAGGTTAAGTTTAGTTGGTTTGGTAGTTAATACAGAGGGGGAGGCCTTTGTTTAACGACAATTAATCGTAACGCCTACGAAGCCACAGTTTCCCCAACACACGTAGCTTGCGATTTTTCCCAGCGGAAATATGCAGATGAGGCATGGTGTAAATTTGTTTTATTGTTTGTAAAATCACAGTTCATGTTAGGATTTTAATCGTTAACAGGTTCTAACACTAGTTTAACCGTTAGAGATTGTTCAGATACAGCACTTGCTAGATTTCACAGTCAGGACTCATCCTTTTTTTATCGAATTATGAATCAGGTTTCTGGATACTTATACTCAAGTGTTACGTTATAACACTTCTTAATTCGTCACACAAGATTGCTAATAGTTCATTAATGGCCGGTTTCTGGAACGATATTTAACCGACCAGTTAGTTTAACTCTCCGATAAATTAGTAAATGGGTTGCTAGAAACAAATTGTCAGTTTAACTGAGCCAAAATGCACAGTTAAACTAACGCGGCATGGAGGTCCGTTAAATTTTATCTGACGCATGCGCAGTCACTAATTGTCAAATTGTTGAATGCAAATGGTCGCTGTTTCGTGTTTTGTTTTGATTTTTGATTTCGATTTTGGAGTGTTGGTGTTGTTCTGCAAGGATTACTTCAGCAATTTCAACAAATTAACTACAATTTAGTGAAAACAAAATCAGTTCTTTTCAGAACTTCGCGTCTGCGGGGTCAGAGAGAATGGAACTTGCTCGGGTATTCGAGGGTTCAAGTTCTTCCTCTGATGAGGAATTGGGTGACCTTTTAGTGGTTGTGGATAGGGTGAAAGTATTCAGAGATAGACGTAACCCTTTCGAAATGTATAGTGAAGCTGAGTTTCGTGATCGATACCGTTTTTATAAAGACACTGTGAGACACATTATTACTTTGATTGAAGACAACATTGCCCCCATGACCTTAAGAAATTGTTCGCTTTCTCCTGCAGATCAGCTACTTATCGCTTTGAGGTTCTACGCAACAGGTAACTATCATAGAATTACAGTATAATCTCACTAATCCGGCACTTCGATAGATCGGCACGTCCAATAATCCGGCACCCTCCGCCCACGCCTCCCTCGCCCCTCTACACCTCCATTAATAGATTACATACATTTATTTCCTCTATGAAATGCTTTATTTTATTCATTACCTATGATTTTTTTACTATAATCCAGTAGTCCGAACATTCCAATAATCCGGCATCCTCCGGTTTTTAATAGTGCCGGATTAGTGAGATTATACTATAATAACAAAATGTTAATCGTATCCTATAATGTAGGAGCATTCCAAATTCTCGTTGGTGATGACTATGGTGTCCACAAAAGTACAGTATGTCGTGTGGTACAACGAGTATCTGAACATCTAGCAGGGATGTGCCCACATTTTGTGAAAATGCCGGAAAACCAGCAAGAAAAACTACTAGTGAAGACAGGTTTTCATGCGATACGAGGCTTTCCAAATGTTATTGGTTGTGTGGATGGTAGGTAGCCATGTTCCCATAACATCACCTGGTGGAGAAAATGCTGAGCTATTCAGGAATCGGAAAACTTATTTCTCCATCAACGTGCAAGCTGTTTGTGATTCAAAGTTAAACATACGTGATATTGTTACACGTTGGCCAGGATCTACACATGACAGCACAATATGGAACGCTTCACTCTTAAGTGCAAGATGTGAAAATAGAGAATTTCAAGGGTCGTACATACTTGGAGATAGTGCCTATGGTTGTACACCTTATTTAATGACCCCTCTTCTAAATCCAACAACTCCAGCAGAACGTAATTATAATGCAGCCCACAAAGCAACTAGAAATTGTATCGAGCGTTGTTTCGGGAATTGGAAACGAAGGTTTGCATGTCTATCTCTGGGACTACGAACAAAATTGGAGAACACCTTGACAATCCTATTAGCAATTGCAGTGCTGCATAATATTGCCATTAGCCAAAATGATCAAGCTGACGATTTTGAAGCAATCCAGCAATATGAAGATGTGGAAAATGACATTAACAATGACAATTTTCCAGGTGGCAATGCTGCAAGGAGAGCACTAATAGACACAGTTTTCAGGTAAATTCATTAACTAACAAAACTTTATATTTACAAAAAATTAATACAAAAACACCTATATATCTTCCTCTGCTGCTTGCAACCTATTAAGTTTCATTTGCCGCATTTTTCGCTCAAAACTAATTTCCTCCACTCTATGCTGAAAATTTAGTTCAAACAGTTTTCGGTCGTTGTCCAATTGTTGTTGTACAACGGCCAGTTGTTTTAATTTTAACTCCTTTTCGATGTTTAAAATGTCAATCTTTAACTTTTGCACTTCGGCGTCTTGCATATCTTTGTAATTTTTGCGCCTTACAAATCTGTTAGAAATGGTTTCAGCGCAGGTGCTTCTTTTTTTAGGCACTTGCACTGATTGCATCTGGAATTTGCGTTTTTGGGCTGTTCTTCCTTTGACTGGCTGCTGAGGAGGGGGAGAAGGAGTTGCAGAAGCTACGGATTCAGTAGGTGAAGTTCTCGTTACCTCAACCCGTCCTGGTGTGTTAGGTGTGTCTGCACAGAATAAATTATTACAATGCTTTAGTTTTTGAGGTTTGTACATGTATTAAGTACCATCTGATAGTGCATCCGCAGATTCAAGTGAACAGTCTTCGATGTTGTATTTTTCTAGAAACATAATTACATTGTATATTACTTATAATTATGTTATATTATACCTGTCATATTGAATCCAGAACAACTTGGTTTTGGTTGCCCTTCGATATAGCTGGCACTAGAATCAAATTTGTTCTGGAGCGGTTGAAATTGGTCCTTTAAAACTGTTACTATTTTCGCATCCAGGGCGGTACTCTTAGGTACAAATGTGCCCCCGCCTGTTTTGTATGAACTTTTCTAAAAATAAAGCATATTTTACATTTTATAAGTATATCCATTTTCTTCTCTCATTGCAGGGATTTGAAAACTGCATATACACTTACCTTGTCGGAATATAAATTGCTGCGCGCCGTTTTCTTCATATTATCATACAAGGCATGCAACTGTTTGGCAGTGCGATGCCCCGTTTCACACTGTGCATTGTAACTTTGGGCAATTTCCTGCCATGTCAAATTTTTTTTGGCCACGGTTATAGCATCTGACTCCTTGTTTTCTATGACACTTTTAAAATCGGCCGTAACTAGTTCAAAAAGCATATTTTTCTCTCTTTCGGTGAAATTTTTACCTCTAATGCGTTTATCACCCATTTTGATATTTGAATATGTCAAAAATTACCCACATTTATAGTAGCGCCATCTATGCGATTTTAAAAAAATCCTTAGTTCAGGATACAACCGCCAGTTAGTTATCCGACCTACAAACTAACTGGAGAATGTTTTCAGAAACCGAACTGAATTTTAACTGTCCGATAAATTTAACGGACAGTTAGTTAACAGACCAGTTAAATATGGTTCGAGAAACCGGCCATTAGGGCAGTTAAATCATCTAACGTTGGCCCACTCTGGGAAGAGACCGTGAAATGGAATTTATAATATCGTGGACTGAGGTCCGGGGAATTAAAAAGTTCCCTTAAGGGGGAACGCTAGACGAGAGACAAGTTTGAATTGGGCGCCATTTGTTGCCTTACACACAACCAGCAATTCTTCTTTAAATCTACCTGACGCGCTGGGATAGACGACTACCGGACGTGGGTCATAAAAGCATCGTAAGCCGATAATGCAGAATAATGATAATTTATGACAGGCGGCCCACAACATACCTTCAGCACAGAATAATCATTTCTCGTATTCTTTTGATATATTCTTTTCGAGATAATTATTATATTATTCAAACACAATTTAGACACTGTAGAGCAAACAAGGCTTATCAAGCCCATCTATTAGTTTATTCGCCTAAATGTATTATTAATACCGTTTTCAAATTACACCAAAATTGAAAAATCGAAAACTTAATGATTGAAAAATTGAAAAATTTTAAATGAAAAAAATCGGTAAACCGAAAAATTGAAAAATCTATAAATCGAGAAATTGAACAATCTAAAAATTAAACAATTTAAAAATCGAAGAATTGGAAAACCAAAAAATCTAAACCGAGAACTTGAAAAATCGAATCATCGAGAAATCAAAACATCAAGGAAAACAAAAAAATTAACGGAAAATCTAGAACTTAAAAATTGAAAAATTAAAATACCTATCAAAAAATTGAAAAACTGAGAAATCGAAACATCAAAAAATGGAAAAATTGAAGAACCGAAACATTGCAAAATCTCAGAACTGCAATACTGAAAAACTGAAAAATGGAAGGAAAATTGAAAAATTCAAAACTGAAATCTTGAAAAACTGAAAAATCGAAAGAAAATTGAAGAATCGGAAAAGTGAAAAAATCCAAAACTGAAACATTGAAAAATCCAGAAATCGAAAAATTGAAAAATCACAATTGAAGAAGACAGAATTGAAAAATCAAGAAATAGAGAAATGGGAAAATCAAAAAATCAGTTAATCGAAAAGTTGAAAAATCGAAAAATTTAGAAACGTCAAAAATTGAAAACTGAAAAATAAAAAAATTTAAAAATCGTATAACTGAAATATCCTAAAGTTAATAAATTGAAAAACTGAAAATTTTTGAAAAAAAAAAATGGTATCAAAAACTAAAAATTCAAAAAATCGAGAAATTGAACAATCAAAAAATCAAAACATTGAAATCCCAGTAAGTTGATAAATAGGAAAATTTAAAAAACAAAAATTTTAAAAATCCAAGAATTGAACAACAAAAAAATCTAAGCCTGAAAGCTCAGAAAATTGAATGATCGAGAACAAAAAATCTAAAATTTAAAAATTCGACAAATTGAAAAATCATGGAACTGAAAAATCGAAAAGTCGAGATAGTGAGAAATCTAAAAACTTAAAACTTTAAAAACTGAAAAATTAAAATATCGAAAAATTTAAAAACCGAGAAAACACAATATCAAAAATTTGAAAAATTGAAGAAACGAAATATTGCAAAATTCCAAAGCTGAAATATTGAAAAACCTAAAAATGGAAGGAAAATTAAAGAATCGAAAGAGTGAAAAAATCCCAAACTGAAACATTGAAAAATTGAGAAATGGAAAATGGGAAAATCAAAAAAATTGGTCTAGAGTTTAGACAGTACTTCCCTCGCTATCGGAAACATGACGACTGCATGCCTATTTTTTTTTTCACATTAGATTTCAAAGCATTCGCTTTTGTAGTTCCTGATTAAATCAATAAAATAAATCTGCGCATTCATTAAATATTTTGAGTCACCCTTTATATCCTAATCGAAAAAATATGAATGGAATGATAAATTACAAGAAGAGACTCATCATATTTTGTAAATTTTAAATAGGATTATACCGCAAACTTTTGAGCTGACGTCATCAATTTTTTGGAGGGGAGAAAAAATGACTAAAAATTTATTATGCTCTTTATAACCTTAAAACATTTGCAAGATTTCAAAGCATTGGGTTCTGTAGTTCCTGATTAAATCAATAAAATAAATTTACGCATTCATTAATTTTTGGGGTCATCCTGTATATGCAAATCCAAAAAACATGAATGGAATGATAAATCGCTAAAAGACACTCATCATATTTTATACAATTTAGATAGGATTTATTCAGCAAAATTTTGAGGTGACGTCATCAATTTTTTAGAGGGGATAAGTAAATGTGATTAAAACGGTCCTGGTTTAATAACAAAAGATATCGTTCGTCTATAAAACAAGCTCGTCTTAGACAAAGTATTCGTAAAAAAATATGTCGTAAAAAAATTTACGTATGCTGGTGCCGACTGCTATTATGGTTTAAATATTTTTTAGAAAATCCTGTCATGGATGTAGAAACATTTGTAACAGCCAAAAAGTTTTTTTTGAGAAAATTATCTGTGAATTTAGACCAAATTGAAATAGACACTAGGCAACAGGAACATTTGGGCAAAAGAAAGAGAAATTAGGGTTACGGCTTCAAATTTTGGACGTATTTACAAACTTAGACCGACTACAGCAATAGCTAAAACTGTGGAGTCTCTGTTGTACAATACATTTAGAGGTAATAGTCATACATACTATGGACAGCAAAGTGAGGAAGAAGCTGCCAAATATTTTGAAATAAATCAAAATATAAAAACTGGACGGTGTGGCTTGTTTATTTCAAAACAATTACCTCACTTGGTTGCTAGTCCAGACAGGGTTCTAGAGGATAGGAGTGCATTAGTCGAAATTAAATGCCCTTCAAAATCGCAAGATTTGTCTCCCGAAGAAACGGTTAGAAAAAAAAAATCAAATTTTGTACATTGACAGACAGAGAATTGTAACTAAAAAAAAATCATGATTACTACTTTCAAATCCAGGGACAAATGCTTGTTACGCGTATTTCACAAGTTTATTTTGTTGTATGGACACCCAAAGGAATAAATATAGAACAAATTTATAACGACGAAGAAATATATGTAAAAAGATGGCAGATAAACTTGGCAGATTTTATTTTGAAGAAAGAGGAACCTGCCTTTGCGAGAGATTTTTTTTAAATAAATAAAACTTGTTTCTATTTTTTTATGTACTTTAATAATTTATTAAGAGTACATTTTTCATCACCAAGACTTGCATATTTTTATTATAACTATATTTTGAAAATGATCTCTCGGCAAATGAAAACATATAGGAGCACTTTTTTCGAGTAAACAATGAAGGGAAAAGTTACTGTGCGTAGGGCTTTTTTAAAACACCTCCTTTCTGGGATAAGTAGTAGATACACTTAGCTACTTATACGTGTTAAACAAAAGCTGTATTTTATATATTTTTTATTATTATTATAAATATGTTTATTAGTTTTATTAATTAACAAAGCAAAATATATATTAACAATAATATTACAATGAATTTTTAGTAATCATGTGTATTGAATTCAGGAACCTGAGTGGAGTAAAAATATTATAGTTCCCCAGTTTTAATTCGGTTTTATGATAGTACCTCATTGCGTAAAAGTTAATTTCCTTAACAATAGATTACTACGGCCGGTCCTGGCGGCTTGTTATAAAACTGAGTTCCTTGCCATAAATTAGAAAAATCAGCCGAGAACTCTAACAATCAGCTTATGGTAGAGCAGGCGATAAGGGTTTTACCTGGAAAGTCGCTTCCGTAAATTTTAGTGGCGCTCCTATCGGCAAAGTACTGAACTAACTGCTCAAATTCTGTCGAATTGATACCCATTTTTTTCAATAATTGTTAGTTTTTGTTAAAAACTCTGCTAACCAATAGATCATTAATTTTCCTCTGATATTCCTGTTAAAATTATTCTACGTATTTTGCATTAATTTGTGGTATATTTTGATTTTAATAAACACATTATTATTTAAACAAATTGTACCACTAACAAACATTTAATGACTCTGCGCCCTGTAAAAAGTGAAGTTTTATTCATGTGCGAATTTTCAAGCGATTCTATGATGGTTATGACTCAAAAAACTTGAAAAGAAAACATACAATGATGCTTTTTTTACGATATTTCTCAGCCATATTTTTTTAGTTGATTGAACTGGTCTTTGCGCTCTAGAATATGAAAAAAGCTGCAGTTTGATGTATGATACATCTATATTAATATCATGTTTTCATACAAAAAACCAAAAAAATGTTATACCTCGTCTAGCGAGTCACCTTAAGCAATTATTATCAACGCTGGATGCATTTTGTGTTTATTTATCGTGTGTTTTGTTTGGGATAAGCTGGGGACAGTCCACGATATAAACTCTCAAAGCTCATGGTTTTAAGTAACAGTCACTTGGATCAAGGCATCATTTAACATCCTGTAAAATCTTTCTTTGAATCGTTGATAAAGTGTGGCATAATTTGACATCAGGTAAATTCTTTATTCTGGCAGCGGCCATGTTGAAAGAGTATTTCCAAAACGAGCATATGTTTGAACTGTAAAATCTCGTTGAACAAATTTACAACATTGTGGTTCATGTGGGACGTGCATTTTATTCCTTTGATTCAGACCCACAGGAATGATCACATTTCTGGGAGACATATTTTTGACGCATTTTTTTTTAACGCGGCATTCGTCCGACGCCACTTTGAACCTCCAGATTGTCAGTTATGTTTTTTTTGTGTTTGTTTGGGTGAAAGTAAAACGATGGCCCACAATGCAGCTGAATAACTTAACTTTTAAAAATTAACCAATAACTCGAATGGACATAAAATATTAAACTCATATAATTTTCTTAGCTTTGCAATTTTTCACCTCATACAATTTTTTTTGTAATTTGCTGTATATTTTAAATTGAACGTAAATTTTCATGCTCTTCAGTTCCTAACCTCACGTAATTCTTTTGTCTGCACAAGTTTTATTTGACACCAGATCTTTTATTTTTATAAATTTTTGCTAGTTTGTTTGTTTTGTAAATATTTTGTTAATTAATGCTTCCATCATATAATTGTCTGATGCTTAATCTTAATCTCAGATAAGAATTCTTAGCTGTTTAAAAATTTGTTTATTACTCTTTTGAAACTTAACACTTGTTGAATAAAAGTCAGGGGTGGTCAGGATGACATGAGGCTGTCGACTTGACCCAATAGTCGAGACCCAAACACGAGTTTGCGACCGTAACGGCCTGCTCGTACGGCATGTTCGTAACGGAGGGGTGGTGTCCAGCAATGCTTGCAATAAAATAGAATCAGTGTCGTGGGGGGAGAACAGCCACGACCAGGAGCCCCAAACTCCGCTCGTGCTACAACGCCCCCTATGGGTAATTCTACTGTGTTCTAGAATGAAATTGAGATGGTTCGATCGCCACACTCTTATAGCGCTCTGGTGCCGCTGCCGCTGAATGTTTTTTTATTAAATTTTTATTTAACAATTTATTAGGGTCAGCATAATAAGTTTAACGTCACATTAGCAATAAAATGCGAGAAAATAGGAGTTATTAAAATAAATGTCACGTTATAGATTAGTTATTGTTTTACGGACTTTAAAAGAACATGGCTTTTGATTGCGACGATCAGAATCAGAGAGGGTAAAGTTTTACGTGAGACACCAGAATCGCAGTCAAGAAAGTTCTGGTGATGAACGGCGTTCGAGAACCAGAAGCATTCAAGAAACAGATCTATGTTGCATATTCATATAGGTTTTAATAGTCAATTTCGTATTGGAATCATGAAGCTTTCAGATTTTACTTTATAAATCACCATGATGCATATAAGTACAATTTTTTAATAACAATTTATCAGAAACAATAAATTCTTATCCCAATTAATTAGCAAAATTCACACAGATCTAAAAACATAAATGAGTCATTTTCCCTCGCAGAGATCTTCATACAAATGAGATACCCATTTTTTTAATCAACTTAATTAAACCCAAATCACATGTTTACTGAACTTGTCACAACTACAATAAGCAACGCTGCGTAGATAATTTACAAAAGATGCGGTCAGCAAATCATCGGACAGATTCAACAGCGTTTATTCAGTTCTCTCAGGATCCCGAATAATTCATCACATCATTACACCACGAAAGACAAAAAAGCCGCTTTCGGAAGTCCACGAATAATTAAAGCGGCAACGGCAATTCCGTCGTCACAAAACAATAAACACCGAAAAATTATTAAATCGGGAGAACCGAATGCAAAATTTCATACTTTGTGGTCGGGACGGGTTGGGTTTAATAGGATCAAAGGATTCAGTTCGAGTCGAAATTCGCTTTTGGAGTTTCGCATAAAATAATTTATATTTACTTTTCAAACAAATACGGGAAAAGGTATATTATATCTAACCAAGTCGGGCTTAAGCTGTGATTTTGCATAAAACGTGCGTTGACTTCGTAAAATTATAAAAAAATTCAATAACGTTATCGATTTTAATGGAACAAACCGTACTTTATCGTGTTTTTATTTTTCAATGAACTTTGTTTTGATACCTTGTTTGTTATGGTTAATCGTAACAGTTTTTTTGTTTAACAGTTTCATAACTGGATAAGAATAAGAACTTCTGAAGGTCAATACAATAATAACAGAAAAGCAAAACGAATTGAGGATTTTCTTTACACGGGAGTACAATAATGGGCGAGCTCACGCGTAACGTACACACTGATTTCATTTTTTTCGGATGACGTCATCACTTTTCTTGAGGAAATGAATGAACCAAATTTATGTAAATGCTCCAGTCCCATGAAATGAAACAAGTAATCTTTTATTAATTAAATATTGTTTGAGTTATGAATTTTCTATAAGGGATGAATCAATGCTATATAATTTATAAATAAAGGTTATCGCCCCCGCAAAAGTTTAGTCATAATTATTTCCTGAATTTAAATTCAACGTCAACCAATTGTTAAATGATAAGAAATGTCAATAGTTTAAATAATCGTTTTATAATCTAGAAATAGAGAAACAATAGTTATCTGCAACAGTGGGAAAAATTATCTACCCCACTCAAATGAGTGACTATCACACGTAGAGATCTCTTTCAATTATTTATACTCATTTTAAGCAAATTCTGAAGTAGCAGATAGAGTTATCTGCGTCACGGAACTAACCCATTAACATTCTCGAACGATTCCACAACTCGGCTGGCGCCTCGTTATAGCGAAACTTCACACTTGCGATCTTTTTTTTATAATTTACTTAAACCCGTCAAAACTACAAAGCCAAGCCGCCTCTCTATCAATTTCCCACATTATAATTCCCCAACCGCACACCATAAATCTCGGTCAAAACTTTCGTCGCAGACACTACGTGACCTCATTCTAATTATCGTCTTCATTATTTCCTCACCGTTTATTCATCAAACAAACAACAAAAACTCACCTCCACACCACCGCCGGAATCCTCCTCGAACTCCTGAACTTCGCAACGGCCTCGAGCGTTTCATCGTTGATGCAAGACGGCACTATAAGATACGGCGGATAAGTAGAACACAATTTGTAACTTTTGTTGGCTTCGCTGATCCTCCAGGAGTCGCCCTCGAACTGCAACCTCTCCATCTGCGACACGCAAAAAACGTTAGAGCCCATAAAAAATTTATTTCGTTTCGAAGTGACGAACCTCTCGCTTGAATAATGCATAGTTAAACGTGTACTGTTTCAAGTTGTTGAGTCTTTCCTCGAACTCTTCGCCGCCTTTTTTCTGCAGCCAGATGAAATAGTAGAAGGCGAAGACTTGCTCGAATTCGAGGCCGGGTGGCGCCTCGCTGAATTTCGTAATTCGATCGAACCACTCCAAACAAGTCTCGTTGTTACTGAACGTACACCTGAAAAATTTTTTTGATTAGACTAGATCGAAAATGCAAATTGAACTAGCGAAGTCTGGTAGTCATGGGACGAGATCTTATAATGGTGAAAAAATGCACCAAAGAAAATTCTTCTAATAAAAGTTGTTTTCCTGCTGTAGTGTTATTTTGTTAAAACATTATCACCTGTATCTCGTTCGTACTGTTTGTGTTTGTGCTGGAATTTTCTCGTTTTCTGACTACATTGTTATGTATTATTTGCAAATCGAGTTATTGTGGTAACAGGTGCCAATGTAAATAAAAAATAAAGCACCCAAACAACATTTGCAAGTTAAATAATGGTAGTATAAAGTTGATTTGGTTTGCAAGTAATTGTCATTAAAAGGGTTGAAATGCGGTAAAAATGTGAAATTTATTTGCAATTTAATGAATGAATATTCTATTCTTCATTTCGTTTCTCTTTCTAACATTACGCTGGGTAATGGTAGAAGTAGGTTATGTTAAATTGCATTTTGTATTTAAATTTTATAATTTCCAACTTCCCCTGGAACAAGTAAAATTAGAATTATTACGGGTTTGTGGTGTAAGAACAATAACACGTCGTGTGAACGAAAAACTTAGCAAGGTATGCGAACTAAAGAAATTCTAGCTGTATGCGTGGTAGTATAACGGCTAACTTCCAATTTTCCTACCAGTCTTCCGTGCGAATAAATTTTAATTTTTTTTTTTTTGAGTAATTATTTTTCGAAAAACTTTCAGATCATTTTACTTGTATTGTATTGTTTGTTCATCCACAGCAACAATTCGATGACGTCACTCCAAAATTTACTGGCTGAATCCTATTTAAGCTTTATAATAGTATCCTTCAGTACTTATGATTTATGAATAAGCCCTAATTTTTTACTTTGAACGTGTATATATTTTTGCAGAAAAATTCAAAATTATGCAAGAAAATTTGAAAATTTACCTAGGGACAACCATACCATTTGTTTTTATATTTATTATTGTGTGGGACAATTTTTTTAAATGGCACCGATTTGTTAATTTTTCAGATTCTCCAGCCTTCGATTTTACGATTTTCAATTATTCCATTTTTTGCTTTGTTAGTTTTCCGATTTTTCAATTTTTTGAGTTTTAAACTTTTGGTTTTTTAATTTTTCAATTTCGTGTTTTTTTATTTTTCAGCAAAAGAACAAATTTATCTAAACAAAAAATTGGAAAATCATTGAAACAATGAAGAATACAAAAATTTTAAAATGAAAAATCCAAAAATTTCAAAATGAAAATCGAAAAACTAAAAAATCGAGACACCGAAATATTGAAAAATTGTAAAAACGAAAAAATTAATCCCGAAATTGAAACATCAAACAATCGAAAAACGGAACAATTTTGCAATTTTTCAATTTTAAAGTTTTCAAGTTCTTGATTTTCAATTTTAATCAAAATGAAATTTTGCAAAATCGAATAACTGAAACACCGAAACATTAAAAAATGCGACAATTAAAAATCGAGAAATTGAAAAATCGACAAAACGAAACAATTCTGCAAATTCTCGATATAAAATTTTTCAAATTCTCGATTTTCCATTTTTTAATTGTTCAACAAAAGGGCAAATTTATTCAAACTGAACTTTTGAAAAACCGAAAAATTGTAACACTGAACATAAAAAAACAAAATCATTAAAAATCGATAAATTGAAAAAATCAACAAAAAGAAACAATTTCGCAGTTTTTATACCGAAAAACTGCAAAAATTTTCAAATTCTCAATTTTTAATTGTTTATTTTCTCGATCTTTCATTGTTTAATTGTTCAATAAAAGGACAAATTTATTCAAACCGAAATTTTGAAAAATTGAAAAGTCGAAGAATTGAAAAAATAAAGAAAAATTGAAAAAACCGAAAAATTGAAAATCAAAAATTGATATATGAAACTTGAAAAACAAAACATTTTAAAAATAAAATAAAATGAGAAATTAAACAAGTGGACAATTGAAAAAACAACTGAAAAATACAGAAATTGTAATACAGAAACCTGAAAACCCTGATTAATTAAAAATCGAGAAATTGAAAAAACGAAAAATAAGAAATTTCTATAAATTAAATAATCAAAAGTACAAAAATTCTTAATTACAAAATCCAAACATTTTAAAATGAAACTTGGAAACATCGAAAAATGAAAAAATTAAGAAATTGAATTGGATAATTGAAAAATCGACAAATTGTAATATTGAAACCTGAAAACGCTGAATAATTAAAAATCGGGAAATTGATAAATCGGCAAAACGAAGCAATTCTACAATTTTTCGATATAAAATTTTTGAAATTCTCGATTTTTAATTTTTCATTTTCTCGATTTTTCATTTGTTAATTGTTCAACAAAAGGACAAATTTATTCAAACCGAAATTTTGAATTGAATTGAAAAATCAAAAAATTGTGAAATCGAAGAATTGAAAAAATTAAGAAAACTTGAAAAAACCGACAGTGACACTTAAAAACTGAAAAATCGAAAAATTGTAATATTGAAACCTGAAAACCCTGATTAATTAAAAATCGAGAAAGTGAAAAATTGAAAAAACGAAAAACAAAATTTCTATTAATTAAATAATCAAAAATACAAAAATTCTCAATTTCAAAATCCAAAAATTTTAAAATGAAAACCGGAAAACTAAAAAATTTAGAAATTGTAAAAAAGAAACACGGAAAAATTGAAATATTGTAACATCGAAAAGACGAAACACTGAAAAATCGAGAAATCGAAGATTTAAAAAAATACAGAAACTGAAAAATCGGATAATTGAAAAGCCAAGAATTGTGGACTTGAAAAAAAACCCTAATAATTATTTGAAAAAAGTGAAAAATTAAAAATCTGGAAATTTAAAAATGAGACAATTACAAAAGTGTGAATTTGGAAAAAAAAAATAAAAACGTAAAATCGAAAATTTATAACATTGAAACCTGAAAAAGTGATGAAGAGAAACTGAAAAATTGAAAAACCGAAAAATTGTAAAAAGACGGAAAATCGAAAAATTAAAAAGCAACTTGGAAAATAGAAAAATTAAAATACCTGCAAATACAAAAATCGAAAAATACAAAAATTTTACAAAAAATAAAAATCATAATGAAAATCGAAAAACTAAAAAATCGAGAAATCGAAAAATGTAAAAACGAAACACGGAAAAATCGAAAAATCGGAAAATTTAGCACTGAAACATCGAAAAATTGTAAAACTGAAAAATTGAAAAATCAAAAAATTAAAAATTGAAAATCGCAGAAGAAACATTGAAAAACCAAACAATTTAAAAATTGAGAAATCGAAAAACTGCAAAAATAAAGAAACTCAAAATCGAATAATTAATATATCAACAATTGGAAAAGGAAAAATTGTAACATAGAAACCTGAAAACCCTGATTAATCAAAAATCGAGAAATTGAATAATTGAAAAAACAAAAATTCTTAATTGCAAAATCCAAAGATTTTAAAATGAAACTTGAAATATCGAAAAATGAAAAAATTGAGAAATTAAATTGGATAATTGAAAAATCGAAAAATTGTAATATTGAAACCTGAAAACCCTGATTAATAAAAAATCGATAAATTGAAAAATCGGCAAAACGAAGCAATTCTACAGTTTTTCGATATAAAATTTTTCAAATTCTCGATTTTTAATTTTTCATTTTCTCGACTTTTCATTTTTTAATTTTTCAACAAAGAATAAATTTATTCAACTGAACTTTTGAAAAACCGAAAATTATAACACTTAAAAATCAAAAAACAAAACAATCAAAAATCGACAAAGAGAAAGAATTCTGCAATTTTTCGATAATAAATTTTTCAAATTCTCGATTTTTATTCCTTCATTTTCTCGATTTGTCAGTTTTTAATTGTTCAACAAAAGGACAAATTTATTCAAACCGAAATTTTGAATTGAATTGAAAAATCAAAAAATTGAGAAATCGAAGAATTGAAAAAATTTGAAAAAATCGAAAAACGGAGACTTAAAAACGGAAAAATCGAAAAATTGTAATATTAAAACCCGAAAACCCTGATTAATTAAAAATCGAGAAAGTGAAAATTTGAAAAAAAACGAAAAACAAAAATCTCTAAATTAAATAATCAAAAATACAAAAATTCTTGATTTCAAAATCCAAACATTTTAAAATGAAAACCTGAAAACTAAAAAATTAAGAAATTGTAAAAAAGAAACACGGAAAAATTGAAATATTGTAACATCGAAAAGACGAAACACTGATAAACTGAAAAATCGGATAACTGAAAAGCCAAGAATTGTACACTTGAAAAAAAAAACCGTAATAATTATTTGAAAAAAGTGAAAAATTAAAAATCGGGAAATTTAAATATGAAACAATTACAAAAGTGTAACTTTGAAAAAAAAAAATAAATAAAAACGTAAAATCGAAAATTTATACCACTGAAACCTAAAAAAGTGATGAATTAAAAATTGAGAAGTCGAAAAATTGTAAAAAGATGGAAAATCAAAAAATTAAAAAGCAATTTGGAAAATAGAAAAATTAAAATACCTGCAAATTAAAAAATCGAAAATACAAAAATTTTACAGAAAAATAAAAATCATAATGAAAATCGAAAACCTAAAAAATCGAGAAATCGAGAAATGTAAAACGAAACACGGAAAAATCGAAGAAACGAAACAACTTGGAAGTACTTTATTTTTAATTTTTCAGAAACTCAAAATCGAATAATTAAGAGATCAACAACTGGAAAAGGAAAAATTGTAACCTTAAAAAACTTAAAAAATTAAAAAACAAAAAAATCGAACAATTGCAAAATTGAAAATCAAAAAATAGAAACAACACCGAGAAATTTAAAAATTGTAATCTTAAAGCTTGAAAAACTGAAAACTTCAATAATTGAAAAAACAACTTGAACAATTGAAAAAAAAAAAAAATCTTAAAATGGAAAACTCTAAAAAACGAGAAACCGTCAAATCTAAAAATTATAACATTGAAGCCTGAAAAAACTGACGAAATAAAAATCGAGAAA